AGGTTTGTATACGCATATTTTATCTTTTTCAAAACATATTACTTGTACAAATTAGCATTTAATTCAAGACAAGGTCTCATTTTACAGTACAGAAGGGAAAGCCTTTCACAGGTGCTGAGCATCTCTCAGAGTAGAATGCTACTTGCATTCATAAGAGATGCCTTATAAAACCTCTTGTGGTTTGTCTAGTATTTTATAAGCACTTCCTTTTCTATCAGGAGAAAAGTTTCCTCTAGTAGATTTGATACATAACATTAAGCCCTTTTCATTTGGGGATCTTGAAGTAATTTCTGAAAGTATTGTTAACCTTGTTTTAGTCATCATAAACCAGATGTACAGGGAAGAAAAGACTGGTAACAGAGCAAGTCAGCTACAGAGGAAGGAATAAATTCCATATCTGCTAAGTGTATGTTCTTGTGCTCTATACATTTCCCATATATATTACTAGTTTTGTAGTTCTCAAATTGGTCTACAAGACAATTGCAAACTTTCTGGCAGTTTACAAAACAAAACATTTCATATTCAGAAACCCCAACTAAGTTAAGAACAGGATTCAGATATTTTGACAAGAAATAATTTCTGAAAAGCTTAGTCTTACAAAGTATCCTAAAGAGGCAAAAACGCTGGCTACTAGAAGGCAACACAAATGGTGCCTATAACTTCCATCCGAGTTCTAGAATGGACTCACGCCTCTTCCTGAGAATTTACATTCCCCAGTAACATGCACTGAACATTTATTCCTCAAACAAGATGTTTGCTGTCCTTGTTTGTCTCTGTTCACTACTGTTAACAAAACAGATAAAGGCAAAGTTTTGGTGACACGAGAATATTTCTTTGTTACTTAGTCAGTTTTACTGCAGATATATAATAGCTGTTTATCTGAAGACTCTTTAAGCACCCAGCTCTAAAACCAGAGAAGTCATTCATACCTTCACAGGTGTTAATATGGCAAAGGATGGCATCGCTAAGTCCTGTCCGTAAGATATGGGTCACTTACCCTAATTTGTGAAGCAACTCGAGATCTTCCAAAGCAGAAGTGATGTACTCAAAAGTACTCTTTACCCCTACCGATAACCTAGAGCGAGAAAGGGTGCAGAGAGAAGAGAGAGAGGTGTAAGAGAGACATTACCCCAGTGAGAGAGCTTTCAAACGGTCTGTATATGCGTTCATTGCAACGTCTCATTACCCAGCGATGAAGATTATTAGCGGCTACCTAGGGACCGGCACCCGAGGGTCTCTCGGTCACCTGGGACGCCGGACACGAGCAAAGCAACAGCTTCACCGCCTCATCTGGCGAACCCAGCTCAGGGAGCAGAGCCCACAGGCCCCCCTACTACCAAGCGCAGCTGAGGCGGCCGGCAGGGCCCCTGGAGAAGCGGAGAGAAGGGGAGTCCTGCCGCCTCAGCAGCTCGCCGCCCGCTCTGGGGCCCGTTGCCCTTGGCGAGGAGCCGCTTCGCTTCTCTCCACCCACACCGGCTCCTCGCGTGCGGCCGCCGCCGCTTTCCCTCGCTTGGATTTGAACTACCCGCCCTTACCAACCGCTGCCTCCCCCGCCCCCTCCGCCCTGTGGGCCCCGGGAGAGCGGCGGCACCGCCCACGGAGCGAGGGACAGGAGCCTGAGGAGAACGGTCCCTCCGAACGGGAGAGCCCACTACACGAGAAAGCTGGAAGATACCGGGGAGGCTCACCTCTCTCCTCACACTTTATACTCCGGGACCCCCTCCCCGCCGCACCCGGCCCACCATTAAAAGCGCCGTTCCTCCCCCCGCCCCGGTGCTGCTCAGGTGCCTGAGGAGGGTGAGGCTTTCCCGCCCCTCCGGGAGTCCCCTCAGAGCTCTGCCGGCGGGCGCCGGCGCTGAGGGGCGGCTTCAAGGGCAACGGGCGATCACGGCCGGCCAAAGGCTTTCACAGATGACGAGCCTTACCCGCACCGCAACCTTTAAGCTTGAGCTAATTAATTCGAGACAATTAGTACGTTTGCACCTGACGGCCCCAGGAACAAAACGGTCACGGAGCGTTTGTCAAGTGCCGTCTCCTTTCAGTCAGCTGTCAGCCGGGTGGGAGATGCCTAGCGATGCCGCCTCGCTTTTTGCCGTGTTTTAGTTAATGTGTATATGGAAAAAACGACCGAAAGCCAGCCCCGAATACTCGGCAGCCCGTTTCTCCTGGGCTCGGTGCGGCCGCCTGCGGGGCTGCCCGGGGCTCACCGACCTGAGGGCCCGGCCCGGCGGGGGCGCTGCCGGCGGCGGGAAGCGGCAGGCCTCGGGGCAGCCGCCCCCGGGTCAGAAACGGGACTGACCGTCAGGAATAAACGTGTTATTCTGAGGGCGGTGAGACGCTGGGTCGGATTGTCCAGGGAAGCTGTGGATGCCCCATCCCTGGAGATGCTCAAAGTCAGGCGGAGGGGGGCTTTAAGCAGCCTGCTCCAGGGGGAAGTGTCCTTGCCCATGGCACAGAGTTGGACGAGATGATCTTCGAAGGTCCCTTCCAGCCCAAACCCTTCTGTGAGTCCAAATAAATCATCGCTGTGTTTGCTCTCCTTCCCCTGGGTGTTACCCTCCTTCACCTCACTCACATAACATTTACCCCGGGTTACCCCTAATTTTTCTGGTTCTTTCCCTCTTTACGCTTCCAGTTTTCTCCACCAGAACAACGTCCAATCTCAACGAGAGATGTCAAAACGTTGTGTGTGACTCTGAGGGCAACACCTAGATCCAAAGAAACGCCGAAATTAGGTAACGTAATTCCTGTAGGTGAGGTTTGGCAAGCGTGCAGCCTTCCCCTCAGGCGACCTGAGAGGAGCTGGAGCTAAAAGTTACCTCTCCAGGGCTGGGGGAACCCGTGACATCCCTAGATAAAGCATATTGGTTTATGTGACTACGAGGTAACTGTTACAGATGAAAAGAGAAAGGCTCTTGGGATATCTCCCCTTTTCATTTTTGGGGGGAGAAGTCATTAGAAACTTTCAGAAACGTAATACAAGTTTTCTGAAAGTGCTTTCTGTAGTATCATCTATTTAGCATGAATCGGAAGAAATTAATTTTCAGACAAATGTATTTATTTATAAAATAAATTACCTTCTCTGTGAAATTGGCAGCTTGTTAACTCCTTAGAGTTTATGTGACTCGGCTCAAAAATACCCAAGAAATATAACAAGTTGCAGTTGTGCCATTTAATGCAATACACTCCAAAAAGCGCGATTTAACAAAAAAGGGTCGCAAAACCAAAACCAACCAACCAACAAAAATCAAAACCAACCAACCAAAACCCCAACCCAAACCTGAGAACGCTGCTTTCAACAAGCAAACAGAGCGAGGTGAGACAGTCCGCTCAGGCTGGGCTGGGGTACGGCCGCCTTCCCTTCCCACCCCAAAAGCAGCCCCGCGGGTTCCCGCAGCGCCCGCAAGCCCTTCCGCACGCTGTCCTGCCCGTTCCCCGGGGGCTGCTGTCGCTTGGCGGGGCGGTGGAGGTGTCCCACACCCTCCCGACTATTCGAAATCCAAGGAGCATCTTCAGGGCTGGTGTTTATCAGCCCATAAAACGGGTTTTCCTGTTAAAGCGCTCCGCTGGAAAGAGGCGGGCTGTATCAGAAACGCCTGAAGTAGCCGAAGATCTGGTAAAACATCCTATTTTTCCAAGGGAACAGTTAAAGGATGCCAATAATCAAGCAATTACATTATTTCCTTCTTAACGGCGAAAAACTTATTTTCACAGAATTAACTTTAACTGACTTTTTCGCGGCGGTATTATAAGTGAGCCCTTTTTGAAAATCACCGATGTGTCGAACGCATTTTAAACCACGAAACGCGCCAGGAAAAATAATACCAATTGGTTTTAAATCGTTTATTTATGAGATGGTAATTACTTCGTGTGCGTTCAGGCTTTTTTTCTCCCCTCTGTTCCAGACTCTTGGTGCACACCCGTCCCTGCGAGGAGCCGGGCAACCGGGATGAGCGGCTCTGCTTTCCGCACGTCGTTTCTCTTGCCTCTGCTTTATTCTGGAGTTACACTTAGCTTTACCCATACCGTTTGGAGAAGCAGGTGAGCTGCCTAAAATCATGGCCGTGTCTTCATTACGTTTAACTCGAATACAAAACGCGGAAAAAAAAAAGACGCAACTATTTATTATCACTCAGGTTTATTTTAGATAAGCTATGATGGGTGGTGTAAGAAGGTGATTTGCTACTACGAGATTAATATCAATAAATTACAACTGATGAAACCTCATACACATCAATGCATTCGGGTGCTTAGGAAACAATTTTTAATCAGAATTCTGAAACAGAGAAAGAAATAGCCTTCCTTAAACCAGGGAACCTTTGCAACGACGACGTCATTTAAATCGGCACATTCACAAAACGCAGTATTTGCGGAATATTTTTCCAGGAAGGAAGTAGAGACAGCTAATTCTACAAGATGCCCATCGAAGACTCAAAATTCACTCTGCCGGTGACTGACAGGGCAGCCGGCGTCGTGTGGGACTAGTGAAACTAACCCGAGCTAACTAACTAGTCCTCCGCGCTGCCTCGGCTCGGCGCGGGCGGGAACGTCCGAATGCCTTTCGGGACACCACCTCGCACTGACAACACGTAGCACCGCAGCTTCTCGGTTTAGGTTTTATATGGGTGCCAGACTAAAATACCGAGATGCGGGTTTCCTCCACGGATTTGAGGTAAAACCGCCGAATAAAAATACCGAGAACGGCGGTTCTTATTTTACGCGTCTAAGCACGCAGCCGCCTGCTTCCCTCTCGGGGGACCGGCGCTGCTGCTCGCCCGGAAGCTCCTCTGTTAAAAAACGACACCCAATACCCCGTGCTTTGCCCAAAGTGGTTAACACCGGTCGCTGGAGGGTAACACCGGCGGAGACCCGCACCACCGGCCCCGCCTCCGCCGGCGCCCCGTATGGCGTCATCAGGCGGCGCTCCGTGTGGCGTCATCAGCCGGCGCCGAGGGGACGAGGAGGCCGGTGGCGCTGCATGCACAGGTGAGCGCGGGCCGGGGCTCTCCTGGGCCTTTCGGGCTCCTTTCAGAGTCTCTGGATCCCTTCTCTCCTGCGTAGAAGCCCCGCTGGGCGGTAGGGGACGCCCCGGTTCACGTTTGGGGCGGGCTGGGGTGTCTGGGGCTGAGGGACCGGTGAGGGAAGCGGCCTGTCCTCCTCCGTGGGCTCAGAGGGAGATACCGCTGTTTTCAGGTGCTAATGGGTGCTGCTTGTATCTTACTATAATGTACCGACACAAAAAGACTATAACACACATGGACAAGGGGCCACTATGGCTATTGTAGAGTAAAACCTTGCTTGAAAGCCATAAAGTTTAATGCATTATCTCTAGTTTTCCCAAATGGAGTGTTTTAACAAAGTGGTTTGTCAAGTGCTAATCAGGCTTTCTTAAAGGATGAACCGTTTTGGTCAATCCTGGCCTTCTGTTTTCAAGACTCTAGTTTTCCCAGTTGAATTTATACAGAAACCAACTGTGCAGATCAGGGAAATAATCCTCACTGTAATATTAAGCAACAGTATCCAAGAGTCATGCTCATAAAGAAGTATCATGAAGGTTATTCCCTGGCATAAGCGTTAGGAATTCTTGTCTTCTGTATCAGGCAGAACAGCAGTACAGAAAGCAGCAACCTCAATAAAAACTACAAGGAAATAACCATGTTCTAGTATAGACTGGCATTAGATGAAAAAAAAAAAACAACAGTTTGCTATCTGTAATGGTTACAGCAACAACCTTAATTTATTGTTGCAACCATATTTACATGTTAGGATAGGATCACTAAAAGCTTGGTAGATCATTTGTGGAGTATATGTAACTATTTAATCTGATACTGTGAAGGAATACTTATTTCCAAGTAAGTCTGAACAATCAAAACCATTATAGGGCATTAAGAGGTGTTTGTAGGGTACCACTGAGTTATTGAACTTTTGATCAGTTTGGTAATCATACATGCCTACGTTAGGATTTTGAGGGTGGAATTTCTACACCCTGGCCCCTCATTTTGTTTGGGTTTTACTCTTCTACCTACAGTCTGTTCCCAGGATTTCTAATCCCTTAGTTCCACGAAAAATTAGATTAGGTTTGAAAGTGTTGTTCTGGGGAGGAGGGAGGGTGGGGAGGGAATATAATAAGGCACTGATAGCACTGTTGTTACATGAGTGATATGTAAGAAATTTTATCTCTTTCCAGCAAGGAAATTCTTACCATTGGCAGGAGAGAGGAAAGAAAACATTCATTGGGCTTTAAGGTTTAAAATCCTGTTTAATAGAAAATGTTGTGCCATCTCCGGAGGCTTTCTCTACCAGATTGGTGAAGCTCTGAGAAACTTGATGTTACTGTGCTTTCGAGAAATTGAAGAGCCCTCAGAAAGCCATCTAGTTCAATGTGAATTATCCAGTGTCCTGTGTATCAAATACAGATGGAATTTGTTTATATTTACTTTTAAGGACGTTTTTAATCTTCTGTTAGCTTTAGATTGAGATATTCATAGAACAGTTTGAGTTGGAAGGGACCCTTAAAGGTCATCTAGTCCAACCCCCCTGCAGTGAGCAGGGACATCTTCACCAAGATCAGGTTGCTCGGAGCCCTGTCCAACCTGACCATGAATGTTTCCAGGGATGGCGCATCTACCACGTTTCTGAGCAACCTGTGCCATTGTTTCACCACCCTTATTGTAAAAAATTTCTTCCCCATGTCTAGTTTAAATGTTCCCTCTTGTAGTTTAAAGCCATTACCCTTTGCCCTATTGTAACAGGCCCTGCTAAAAAGTTTGTCCCCATCTTTCCTGTAGGCACCCAATACTGAAATGGTTGTGATATGCCTTGAAAAAAAAATTTAAGACAAACCCCAAAGTGGTGTGCATGTTGTGGTTGGTTGTTTGTTTATTGTTTTTGTTGTTTAGAACATGGATTCCCAGAAGGATGTTCAACCTCCAAAGCAGCAGCCAATGATTTACATTTGTGGAGGTAAAGACAAGACATCAATGAATTATTTTTTTTATTTGTTTTATTTATATGTTTTAATAATGAAGAATGCATAATCATTATACTGTAGAATACATAAATACAAATAGTTGCAGTGTGGATCCTGATGTTCTTTAAAGCTTTACACGCTGTTGGTACCACTATATGGCATTTATATGGATAGAGATCTGGAAGTAATTCACTAGAGCTTGTGTTGCTCTGTGGAGGTCCTCTGTCTTCAGAGGACGCTTTCTCTAAGTGTCTGCTTGTGGTGCAGATGGTGGACCTTCTGTTTAGTGCCTCTTGGAGATTTTTTTTTTTTGAAAATGTTGTATGGTCACTCAGCTTTTATTGAAGTGCAGTGGTCAAATTCTCCCTTACCTATATATGTCAGCAAGTTAAAAATTTATAAATTTGAGTTGTCACTTCAGGAGTCTCACATATTTTGTCTTTTAAGAAAATAAACTTGGGGCTTTGGGGGGCCAAGCTGAAGCTTTCATTAGTAGACAGTCTAGTTATATCAAGAATGGAATGTATTCTGTGCAGTAATAATTTAGTGATTTCTAGCAAGGTCCTCTTTGATCTTAATATAAGTGAAATTTGCTAATTTTTTTTTTGCACAGTATCTTGATATCATTCAGCCCTTGGTAAAAATTCACTATAATTATTTCTGTATAATGTTTTGTTTACAATAAATTGGAATTGGATTGTTATGACTTTTGACAGTTATCTGTGCATTAACAATGCTGTTTTTGTTTACACACTCCCTTTCTTTTCCTCCTTCACATCAGAATGTCATACAGAAAATGAAATAAAGGCAAGAGATCCCATCAGATGCAGAGAATGTGGCTACAGAATAATGTACAAGAAACGGACAAAAAGATGTATCCTTTTACATGGAATGCATTTGGGAAGCTGTGGATGGAGACAAGGTTCATAAGGGAAACCAAATGGAAGATTTGAGTAGTTATGGAAGAATCCTTCAAGGTCAAAAATCAGTAGAGCAGAGCAAAGTACTGTGGGGAAATCTCTGCAGTGTGACTAGGGATCTTGTTTTCTTTCCTGGCACCTTCTCTCTTTTTTTCCATGTTTTAATGCAAAATATATTAAGTCATGGTAGTTTGCTGGGTGATGTACTATGAACAGTTGATATTAGTCAGCCTTTTAACAAAAGGAAAGTGTTCTGGCGTTGATTAAGGATGTGTTTTGAAATGCTTTTATGTAGTTAGTTGTGACTTTAGATTTAGGCAGTCTCTCTTTTGTGGTTCCCCCTCCCCCCCTTTTTCTCCCAGATCTTTTTTCAACCATTTCAACACATTTTTTTTTCCTTTAACTGCACTATTTCAGTGGTGGTTTTTGATGCCCGATGATTTCTGCTGAAGATACAGTGACTTTATGCTGGAGTTCAATCTTTCTGATAACTTTGCTCTGTAAATCCATTGATGTATAAATGCACGCTCTTATTTGTGTTTTAAGATATTGAAATATTAAATTTTACTGTGATACTAAATTTTGTCTTACTGTCTTCCAGCAATAGATTTCTAAAGCTGTCGTTTAAGTTTGTAGTCAGAGTATGTAGTAGTTTAAGTTCAGTAGTATTGTGTTCTTTTTGAGTTAACGTTGTCTTTGTTACTCTCATCTACGCTTTAATTGCATTTTAACTTTGTTAAATGTTCTTTGGACTCCTATGAACTGCATAACTGTGGTTTGAATTAATTCTACAGAAAATAAATAGGCTACATGAGGTTAGGTCTGAAATATAGACCTGGATTTCAAAAGAACAAATCTCAAAGGACTTGAAAGCACCCAATTCAGGCACCCAGCTGTGGAGGAAGTGTCAAAGAAAATCATCTCTCAGAAAAGAAGAGGGGAGGGAGGCAAAGTGAATATCAAGAAGCAATGTGTAAACAGAAATTCCCAAAGTGCTTCTTGACTTGGTTTTATGCAAGGGAAGGATTAGGTCTGTGCTATAAAGATAATTTGGGTAGCATCCCAAAACTAAAATAGCGTCTTGTTTTGCTTGTCAGATGACTTCTCAGGGGTCTGTATTAAAAAGATCAAAGTGGTTGTTTAGTGTGAATGAGCCAAAACTTTTTCCATTTATCTATTTGGAATGGCTGTGAAGTAATACTAAAATATCCTTATCCCTAAGGCGTACTACAGAATAGTGCTGGACTGTGCCTGATGATAATTTAACCTCCTTAAATCTTGCAAATATCAATTGTGATGGTGCTAACGATGCTGTTAACGTTGAGATAATGTGTTTAACTCTTACGAGTATAGTGAGGTGTCTTTGCAACAGACTACATGACCGTAAACCGGGGTCATAAACGAGCTACAGTGGGTCATTTTAGGGGATGCAAAAACATTATTGAGGGGGGTTTTTTTTGAGCGGTTTGGTTAAGATTTTCATAGGCCTCTTATCTGATCTTAGCAGTTACAGTTCTCATTTAGGTTTTTCCTTAGAAGCCAGATACACTCGAGTGTAAACGATAACGGGGGGGGGAGCTGTTCTAAGCGAAATAAAATACTGTATTGGAAACAAACAGGTGATGTTTTATTAAAGGTATATTTCAGCCCCCCGCCGCTGTCCTCAGCCCGGGCCGCTCCCGCCCGCGGCCCACACCGGCCCCCCCCGCCCGCCAGAGCTCTGCCGCGCATGCGCGGCGGCCACTGAGGCGCCGGCGTCGCTTGGCTGAGGCGCGGCCGGGTGGCGCCCGTGTCCCGGAGACAGCTCGCACCGGGCAGGTGGGTGTTGGAATCCGCTACACGACGCCGGTGTCGCCGCTGGAGCTCGGCAAGGGCTCTGTGGGACCCCTCGCAAGGGGGTCACTGGGGAGGGCAGCCCCGCGTCTTCACCGGCGTGCCCGCTTCCCTGCGCGCCGCCGGCCGCCATGTTGTACATAGCAACAGTTACTAGGCAGGGGCTGGCCGCGCTGCTCCGGCTGTGCTGCGAGGGGAGCTCTTTTGTGGGGGATTTTAAGGTAAATTCCTGACTCCGAGGGGTGCAAGTTGTCTTGTCGACAGGGCACGGCGTTGCGGCTTCGGGAGCTGCCGGCAGCCGGCCCGAGGAGAGGAGCGCCTTGGGCTGAGGCGGTGCGAGCCGGGTCTCCTCCTTCCCGCACCGCCCGGGAGCTGCGCCGGGCTCTCCAGGAAAGGGAGCAATGTTATTCCCTGTTCCTAACGTGAATACGAGAGGAAATATTGCCATTTCGTGATGAGTGCCTCTCTTGCTTTTTACTCCAGCCCCATACTTTCCTATGAATTTTCTCTCTCTCCATGCTTGTTGTTTCTTTTCCTCTACTGAAACTGTAAATCTTTGGGGCAAAATCCTGTCTTTTATATAATACCTAATTATGACCAGTTATTATTTGAGTGATAGTGCATTGTAAACATTTTTTTTCAGCTACAAATGTGTAGCTGAATGTGTACTACAAATGTGTACTATGTGTAATTATGCTAGACATCAGAACACAATTATTTTAATTTGGTTTATATCCATACACAGTTGTTATCACATACTAGCTAGCAGCCCTCATTGTACTCATTAAAAATAACTGATCACTTTAAGCACTATATTACGTGGGAGAAAGCAAGAAATACTGCTCCTTAGAGCTTGGAATCAAAATAGAAAAGGATGAAGATAAGCAGATCAAAGGTACGGGGAGACAGGAAGTGTCCAATTTTAACACCTCAGTTCATCAGTTACAGAGTTATTGGAAAAGATTCAGATTAGTACACTAATATAATCAGAGGTCCAGAAAATGGAGTTAGTGAGGAAGGACAAAGAATTGGATTTATTTTGGCCACAGAGAAGGCAAAGGTTTTCATTCCGTTAGATACACTGAGTTGGTTAACATCTTCCCTCTGAAAAAAGGTAGAGGGTTCTGCACCATATTTGCCTTCATCCCCACCACATTTGCTTAAAGTAGAGAATACCATATTGTGTTTAACGAAAAATAGAGAATGTGGTAGGCAAAAAAAATGGTGGCAATTTTTCCTTAAGCAGTCCTTTCTGACTTATTCTGCTGTGCAGAAGCAGTAGAATTGTACATATTCTTTTTATAAAGCATATCTCATGTACAACCATACTTCTGTCACTTTGTGTGATCAGGTCTTAAAATGTGAATTTTTTTTTTTTGTGGCAATAGGTCTGCTTGTGTAACAGTAGTACTTCCGAGCCTGAGCAGGGTTATTAATTTAATTAGCATTGCTTCAAAATATAAGTAAGTGCTTGCAGAATTGCTACATTTTTTTCTTTTATATTTAGCTATGGGTGATGAGCCAGTACCGTATTTCCTGGACCAAGGAACCACTAAAACATATAAAATACCAATTGGTCATCTGGACTACAAGTTCATTGAAAAATGCACAGATGTTAAACACCTGGAAAAGATTCTCAGGGTATTAAGGTAAACATTATATTTTCTTAACTTCATTACTAATTATATTCCTGTTGTGCAAAATTTGAAGGAACTTGTACAGTTGTAACAGAAAAATAGTCCTCTGCAGTGACTCTGGTGGCTACACAGAGACTACACATGGAGGAAAAATATGGAGAATGCAGTGCAGTTTAGTTCTTTTTTGTAACTTTTATATCTTTGCATTTTGAAGGTCTGGTGAAGAGGGATGTTATCCTGAACTTACATTGTGTTGTGAAAAGCGTATCGAGCATTTAGATCCAAGGAGCAGAGCTCTGAGAAAAGATAAGCCTGCAGCCACAGCTTCTGATTTCACAGCTGAAGAATGGGAAACAATTAATGACGAACTGATGGTACAGTATAACTCTAATTGATAATAGTCAGTAATATAATCACTTTGATGTATCAATCTTCCTCTTCTTGTGCCTAAGCAGAATGTAATTATTTGATTAAATGAGGAAATGATCAAAGGATTGTGTTGGTTTTTTATTATTTTCTTGAATTAATGTCACTGAATCCTTAATGCCCATTTTAACTCTACAGATTTTTATTTTTTTTTGGTAGATTAATTTTTGTTCAAAAAGCCACAATTGCTCTTTGTCTTAATTGATTTTGCCCATTAAGAACAGTGCATTATAAGCATAGATGTTAGGGCCATTGTAGACTATGAAGTATATCTGCTCTACTGCTTTAAGGTACAGATATATTATTTATTTCCAGAGCTGGGTGACAGAAATGAATGAAGATGATAATAAACCACAGTACCTGAGAACAGATGCACTGCATGAAAGACAAGATAACTTGCCTCCTATTCGTTGTTCTAGCAGCTGTCTTCCTGCTAATCAGGTATCTCCAGTTTTCTAACATATGTTAATTATATGTCTTTTTAAAATTGGAAAATTTTATATGTACAAACTTCTAGTCATTGAGTCTTTCTTACTAGGTTTATTTTGTTAACCAGAAAGTAAAAACCTTCCTTTGCAAGACACCAATGCTTAGGCAAAAGTGACCACTAGCATATGTCTTTTAATAATGTTTTAATTCTGATCAAGAATTCACTTCTGGAGCAAAGTAAGTTTGTAATATACACCAGGATGTGTACATAATGGTAACTCATGTTTCAGGAAGCCATGTTTAGGAGTTACCTCCTCCAAACACGCGCTGATCACTAAATGTACTTGTCATTTTGTCTAGCTTCTTGAAAGACTGGGAACATTAAAAGTAATTGTGAAGTTATATACTATAAAAGTTCATGTAACCTAACATTATAGATAGTTAGAAGTGTTTACAGGAAGGGTCACATTTGCATTATATAAATTGAGGTGTTTACATCCAACTGCAGTAGTATTTCCTTGTTACAGTGTCACCACTGGTAAAGCTAGTTTAAGAAATTGCTGCTTGTTTCTTTGGTCCAGTTTATCCCATACTCAGTTGAACTGGCACAGATATTTAGGGATTGTACTGTAATCTCTATCAAATTGTTTATTTGGACCCAGATAATTGTAAATCTGCAACTCCACAATTAATTACACTGGTCTAACTCAGTGAATGATGGCTTGCAAGGTAAGAGGAGGGCTGAACAGCCAGGACAGAGTAAATGGGAATATATTGAACTGGCTGTTCCACTGTGGAATACCTGTTTGGAACCACACCTTGCTATTAAGTATTGTTGAAGTCAACAAGCAGGGAAGGACATATCAGAAATACAGTCTCATGGCAGAGGTAGAATTGATGCCAAAGGTGCCAGCTATGAAAATAGGTTCCATTAGTGTAGGAGATGGGTTGTGATACAAGTCAGTCAAATCTGTTATTGGGACTGAGTGTTGCAGGAAGGACCTAAGGATAAGTGTTAAGTGAGGCACAACTCCATGATGGAGCTTATCAGCTTGTCTAAAATCTAGAATGAGTGTAAATCATCTTGGGAATTAGCTTGAGTGGAGTGTGAAATAGTCAAAAGAAGTCCAGACGCTATTTTGAAGTCCGACATATGTAAGTATGTTGTCAGGGTTCCAGGGACTCTCAAAATCTGTGCCTTGCATTCTCTTGGGAATGGCAAGCCTAGAATGAGGTTACTGATTCAATCTCAGACACCTCATTACAAGGCTGGGCTTTCCCAGGGCTGAGCTCTCCCTTGCTGTGTTGAAAGGATGGTTTGGGAGATGGCAGCACAAGATACTAATTAGGAAGAGCTGTTTCCTATCTGAAAGTTTTATTCAGTGCCTCTGTGACATGTACCAGAGCAGTGGAGAGAAAATGTGAGACTGAAGAGCTCCTTAAATTACAATGATATGTAAAATACATGAGGACTAATTAAGTTTTCAAGACTATGCTGATATTAGTCATGAATAGTGTTATTTACTAGGAATATGTATTGCAGAAACAAAACCTAAAAAAGCCTGTGAATTGCCACTTTAAAAAAATTGTCTTACAGGCTGGCTCTTTCTCTTTCAGAACAAAAATTTGCAAAACAAACTAAGAAACAAGAAAAACATACCACGGGACTACAGTGAATGGGACAAGTATGTTAAATCCTTTATATTGCCGTTTTTATTAAGTCTTATTTATTTGCTTAATAATGGAACACTGTGGTTGTTTTTTAAAGTTTTTTCCAGAAACATAGTATTAAGGTCAACATTTCAGGGAATTATAACATGGTGAAACTTCGTTTTTTCATAATAAATGCTCTCTTAAAATGCAAATGATGCATCGTCGTGCTAACAACGGAACAAATTAGTCCATGCTTTTGTACAAGCTGTGTGAAATAGAGCAAGACAGCAGAAAATATAAATGAGTGATTTTATTTAAGATTTCATTTTTCCTTTAAACAGCTAAGATAAAATCTATGGAGGTATGTAAAAGCAAGGAATTACAATTAGCTTAATTTATCATTCTGAAAACACTTCTAGGGTTATTTAACATGGGCACAAGTTTCCAGTACAGTAGATGGGGAGCTAAATCTAGAGACTGTGGGGTTTGGGGAATGAAACTCTTAATGGGTCACTCCACCCCAACACCCCTACAAACACCCTGCCTGCTTAAGATGCTGTTCTTGCAAACAGTTGTGCGTATCAGTTATTTTCATGCACGTATGTTTCAGAAATTGGAATCTTCCTGCTCAAGCGTGGACAAACAAAGCAGGTTATCAAAATAACTTCTGCAACAATTTATTCTTTCATCCCTCTTTCCTCCATATCATTTAAAGTAATTATTTGGGGATTTTGTTTACAGCTTTATGTACTCAATCTTTAAGAGCCTTAGCAGGCTGATAATACTGCAGTTTCTGAATTTTCCCATATAGTGTATTTCTTCTGTATTATACAATATACTGAAACAGAAGTTGTTTGAAAGAAATTTTCCAGTTTGAAGCATATCGTGTTTTCAAAACATTTTGAGTTTAATTTCAAAACCTTCAAATAATTGTTTATGCAATTTCTGAACAAAATGTTTCACTTTGTATTTTAAAAACACTAACTTAGAAATGTGGTTAATTTATAATAAAAAGGTAAAGCTAAGCTAGCAAAAGATCAGAATCAAAATGGAGAGCAACTAGTCTTACTTGAAAAGGTTTTGAATTGGATAAATTTTGAAAATTGTTTCTCTATTTCAGATTTAAATTATTCATAGCATCAAGATTACTGTGGACAGCAAAGGCCATTTTTCATTGAGTTCTAAACAGAAAGGCAGTTGAGTGTAGTGTTTCTAGACAGTGTTACAAATTGGTTATTTTTTATATAGGACTATGTCCTATAATACTATCTGGTATTTTTTGAATAGGACTATGGCAGCAATATTTATTTCCTATAAATTCCTAAATGCTGTTTAAAAAAAAAAAACCTTCTTCAGAGGAGCCTTGGAAGTGTCTGAGACTATTTTGAAATCTCTCTCATGTTTACAGTATTAATTGCTTTGAAGCTGTTTCCTAGATATTTTAGCAAAGGTTAATAGAGATGTTTGATAGGACTGGGATCGAGCCTGATGATAGTATTTCTTAAATTTTACATCTTTTTTGGAGGAATGACAAGGAGGTGAGACAGACGTTTTCTTTGTTTCATTTGTTTGGTTTTAACCAGAAGGGAGGAAGAAGGGAGGCACTGTATAAGCAGGAGAAGCACGCACACAAAAAAACCCAACACAAAGAAAGGAGATAAGACTAAACATCTGTTCCCAAACTAGTCTCTTTTCCTTTGGTTTATAATGGAAATATTAAAACCCTTTCTATTAGTAGAGGAGTCTTGTGATGCAGTACTATCAATTTGTATGTTTTTTTTTAATTTAAGGTTCGATGTGGAAAAGGAGTGTTCTAAAATTGATGAAGGCTGTGAAGAAAATAACTCAAAAGCAAGATTTTTTAGTAGGCCCAGTCTACCTATAATTGAAAAGAAAATAGACACAACTGGTAATGTCTTAGAAACATATACTTTTTCTTGAATTGTAATACTGTGTTGTAGAGTGTGAATACAAACTGAAGAAGCATATTATAGTTAAAAGTGTCTTTATATATTTTTCAGCCCCTAGAAATGGTAGAAGGATGTCAACTGAGCTTGAAGCCATATTTGAAAAAAAAATAATCTAGTCTTGGTGTTAATAGTCAGTTAAAACATTTATGTTATGTTTAGGTTGAGAGCACAGGGTAAAGAAGTAAAGCATACTTCTGCTATTATAAAGCAGTGGTAGAAGTTAGCCAACTGCTTTCATCTTGCATTTTGTATGCCTATTAGAAGAATTTGTTTTTCTTATTGAAAATAGAATACAAATTTATCTTTTAGTAAGTCATGATCTTTTAAAAAAATAATATACAGATTATGACATTCATACATTAAAGTATTTTAGCTGACAGTGTTTTGATTGCATTGGTGCAAGTTGATATTTGTTGTTATGTATAAATATTTTTTTCTAGGCATGACAATGAAAGAGAAGATTTATATTGCTACTCGTGAAAAAGAAAAGGGCAATGAAGCCTTTGCCATTGGCGATTTTGCGGAAGCAGTGACTTATTACACTCGGTGAGTAAATACGATTGTGTTCTTTTATTTTAGTGACTATTATCTGTGCATATTATTTTTAGAGCAATGCAATTAAAGCAACTTCTTACTGGAGCAACTAGTGACAACTAGATTATTTTCAAAAGGGCAAAAAGTTTTGTCAGAACAATACTTAATTTTATTTATCAGGAAGAGAAGTGGATAGTGTTGGGATGCAATCTGCAGGCATCACAGACTTCTTCAGATTTTTCAAACCCATTGAGAATCAAGGGCAAGTTTACAAAAAAAAAAAAAAGGATAAACAGTATTGGTAGGATAGTCTCAATTGTTAATAAGTAAAATTGATTTAATGACCTCATCTTAGCAGAAAGAAAAATCATTATGTGCAGCTTCATCCCAACACTGTCTGTAATTAGTAGCAGTCCAGAAAAGAGGTATATAAACACAGGATTAAAAAAACCCGAACAGACTCTTACAGGTTGCTTGCCTTAGTTAGTGACTATTGTCTTTATTTATATAAATAGAAGTTGTTTCTACAGGATCTCTGTTGTAATTGTTTCAAAAGTAGAAGAGTTCAAGGTGAATAGAATTAAGCATGACAGGAAGAGAAATATAGTGTTTCAGTTAAGGTATTTGAATGTTGCTGTGGGATAGCTAAATTTTTTCTCTTCCCTTTTCACAGAGTTCAAACATGATGCCATTTATGCAAAACAGGTCTTTCACATGAGACCAACATTTGTTTCTCATTTGCAGATTACTTATTTTGAGACACCAGAGGTCTGACTTGCAAAACTGCTGATGCTCCTACGTTAAACTAACGTCAAAGGAAACTCAGTTTTGTGTTTGTGCTTTGAAATGATAAGGAGTTAAAAAAACCACAGTCCCTAGAAGTGTCAAGTCACTTAGAAATTGAGAGCATATGGGGATCTTGGTGTATTAATTGCTAATGTAAACTGAGGGTAATGGTACAGCACTACTGTGAGATGAAGTGTTAAGATAATTTATGGGCTATGATATTAGAGTGGCATATTCTCGAAAAACATTTATGTGGAAGTTAATGTGTCTGTGGTCAGTGCAGACAAGTACGGAGAAAATAATGAATAGGAATAAATTGTGTGCAACAATAATAAAATAAATATTGAACAGATCTATGTTTAGGAAGCACCATTCATACCATCACTGAAGGAGGCAGGGTTTTGTAGAACAGCTTACGAAAATTTACCTGAAGATTGTTGATGTATATATGTGCACAAACGTATTGATATCCAGGCTGTTTAAACTGAGGTATTTAATGTGTATTTTTTTTGTTCTTGACTTGCAGCCTTAACATCTTTCATGTTTTTTTTTTTTTTTTTTAATACATATATAAGGGATGAGGAGATTTATTCTTGCTGAAATGAACTGTGTAAACTCCAAGATTCATCAGTGTAAGGCAATATTACTCCAGATAACCTAAAACTTAGCTGCTTCCTCTTACCTTGCCGTACGGAGAAAATAATGAATAGGAATAAATTGTGTGCAACAATAATAAAATAAATATTGAACAGATCTATGTTTAGGAAGCACCATTCATACCATCACTGAAGGAGGCAGGGTTTTGTAGAACAGCTTACGAAAATTTACCTGAAGATTGTTGATGTATATATGTGCACAAACGTATTGATATCCAGGCTGTTTAAACTGAGGTATTTAATGTGTATTTTTTTTGTTCTTGACTTGCAGCCTTAACATCTTTCATGTTTTTTTTTTTTTTTTTTAATACATGAACATGAATATAAAAACATCCATAGCTGTATTTCGTATACAATAAATAAAATACAAATCCATAATATAAGTAAAACTACCTGCTTTTGGGGCATAAATAAGGTATTAATTAATAAGGATGGGCAGAATCCTTCCTAATGGAGAGTCTTTCCATATTCAAAGCCCATGGGGTATTGTACACCTTCTGTAATATGTATGTTATTGACACTCCATACTGTTCTAACTGGGCACTTTTCTAACACCATCTGAAAATTCCCATTTTCTTACATTTAGGAATATTTAAATAAAACATATTTTGGGTGAATTGATAATAGTATGAAGAGGTTATTTGTATATGGCTAAAAAGGGAAAAAGAGTAGGGTTCTATGTAAAAATAATTGGGGTACATTTATTCATTTTGTTTGTCTTGTGAACATAGGTGAACAAGGTGAACATAGGGATTACTTTCTATCTTAAAAAAAACCAAAACCTTAAACCTCTCTCTCATTTCTAAAGAGATTAAAAATTCTTGCAGAGGATGTGCTTTGACATAGTTCCGTTATGCTGATGTGATTTTTAAACAAATCTTGCCTAATTTTTTGCACACCTCCAGTGAAATCACTCTGCTTTGTCATTTCAGCTCTACCACAGTATCAGGCTGGAAGCAATCTCTGAATGGTATTTTCTGCAAACCAGCTCTCAAAGCAGGGCCAAGTTAGATCAGGTTACTCAGAGCTTTGTTCAGTTAAGTTTTGAATATCTCCAAGGATGGAGGTTTCACAGCCTCTCTGGGCAGCCCACTGCAGTGTTGAACTACCCTTACAGTAGGGTTGCTGCAGCCCAGGCTGTCATCAGCTTTTCATTCCCAACCAGTTCTTGATTGTGAGTAACAATTCCAGCAAAGCATTCCCCCTTGTCACCTTGTTGATTGTGTCAAGAAGTTGTCTTCAACATGCTCCAGAAATCTCATAGATTCCTTGTGCCTTGTCATTTTGCCCTTCCAGCAGATAACAGGGTCATTCAGGTTCCCCGTGGGAACCAGAGCCTGTCTGTAGTTGTGAGGCTTCCTCTACTTGCCTGAAGAAGACTTCATCTCCTGGCTCTTCTTCATCAGGCAGTCTGAAGCAGATGCTTACCATGATGTCACCATGTCAGTCTGACCTCTTATTCTTACCCATTAGCTCTCTTGACGAGCTTGTCATACTTTTGCTTGTTCCAAGACAAACCTTCACACATTTAATCACTGCTTAGATTAGAATCCACTTCCTCTTCCTCCTTACATTCCTAGTCTTTTTAAAGAGCCTGCATGCCTCCGTCACAGCGCTACAGCCATACAGATTATCCCATCACACCTCTGTTATCCCACTGAGATCATAGCTACACAAACCTTTTCTTCTTCTTTTTTGTTTCCCATGCTTTGGCACTTGTGCACAAGCACTTGGCAATGTCCTCCAGTCGTGCTTTTTTTCATGAGGAAAGTGTGAGAGTCTGTTCCAGAATGCTCTCCTCACGGCATTTCGCTATTGCCCCCTCTTCCCAGTGAACAGAGTTTAGAGTCCTTCTTGCTAGGTTAGCCAGAGTGTTGGCAAAGATTGTCTTGCAGCACTTTGTCATATGTATCCCACTTGTCCTTATTCCTCAGAGATGATCCTGTTGTTGTAGAAGCTAAGGCCCTACCTAAAATACCAGCCACACAGCAAGATGTTGACCTGGACGATTCAACCACTGCTACCCGAGTCTTCTCCCTTTTACAAGCAAGGTCAAGGAGAATTCCGTATAGCCCCCCTGCCTCTGGTCTTGCAGGAAGGAGTTTCTAACCACTATTGTGGTTAAAATACCAGTATCAATATTGTTATACTGTTTTCAGTTTCCAATAGTGAAGTGTTTCTACGTTCAGGTTTTCTAACTATGAACCTACCATGGTCAATACTCCCGTTTTTTTTCAGGAGTATTTCAGTAATACCCACTGCAGCTGCATATAATAACAAAGCTCAAGCAGAAATCAAACTTCAGGACTGGGGCGGTGCTTTGCAGGATTGTGAGAAGGTACTAGAGATGGAACCTGACAATGTAAAAGGTAAACTTGAACATAAACTTGCCCTTCTATGTATTATTTTATTTCTAGCAAATAAAATGGTACGTATCCGTTCATGTTGTTAATTGATTTCAGTGAGCTTTAGATGAAGTGCAATATAAAAAAGGAAACAGAGTAAATCCCCAAAGTAATTTTAACTGTATTTTCAGGGTCAGGGAAGTTTTATACAGTCCATCCTGTTGGTCTGTAATGGGTATTCTCATGCAGCGGCATGGGGCTGACTCTTGGTTTCTGTATGATGTCTATGAGCCCTTTTGTATTCATGCAGAGCATTGTTTCCATAATACCCCCATTGAAGTATTTAATTACCTTAAAAGTGACAAGAAAACAATGGAAGTTGCCGATTTAATCCTTTCTGAAGGCAAGGGCTTGAATGTAGCTAACTATATTTGTATGGGAGGAAGGAACAAATTGGAAAAATATGAAAAGATGCTTCACAATTCATGATTGCTATCTCAAAAGGTGTCATGTGAAATTGCATCTTTGAAAATGATCAAGAAAACAGTTATTACCAATGAAGTAAAAGCATAATTTTTAAAACTGCTTTCCAGTTAATATGTCTAGAAAAAAATGGTGCATTGTTATCCATTTTATGCTTTAAATGCCTAAATATTACACTTTGTTCCTTTCTAGCACTGATACGCCACGCCACTGTACACAATCAGCTGAAGAATTACCAGACAGCTGTAGAGGATCTGAACAGAGTATTACACATTGAACCAGAAAACACTATAGCGAAGGTAAAGATAAATGAGTTGAATGTGACTAGAAAAAGGTTGTATGCAATTGTAGCACAAAGTGAATACAGTTTATATTGTTTGATTTGAATACTAGTTTTGAGGACACGCTCGGTCTACTGTGCCAATGATCAGTTTTGCAAGACCACATAGGTGCCTGTGGTGGAACGTAGGTACTTGAATGTGATCAGATCTTCTGTTCACTACTTAATTGTGAGAACCTGTAGGCACTCAAGTCTTTTTTATTAACATAATTTGGGTGCCTAAAGGTTTGCTGCTGAACAGGCTTACAGGATTAGTGTCTTAGCTGATGAAAGTTATTTGGAAATTTCTCTCAAAAAGATCCACTGGGATAAGTGTATGTAAGTTTGACACGTAATTCACAAGAAAAATTCAAAAGAGATGCCAAGCTTTTATTGTTTTAGTGACCCAAAAGGAGTGTTCTGTCTTCACTGCAGTGTGATATTATAAATCCTCATTTCTCACCTTCAGGCTAGAACGAAAAACCTTTCATACCTTCTGATGAATCTGTAACCTTCTCGGACGTAAGAAAGCTGGATGCTTTCTTTGGAAACTCAAGGTCAGAGTAGGTCCTTGTACTACTATTACTTCAGCTATTTAGGAGAGGATTAGTCTGTGTCATTTCATTGGTATCTTCTTAGGGGTTTTTGTGGGTTAGAATCCAATCCTTACATTTGGGCTCCATATGTCCTCAGAATCTTCAGTACTAGGCAGTTCTGATACTAAACTGCTCTTTTCCTGTTAATTAGGAGTCCATCATACTGCTACCTTCCCAATTTTTTTATGTATGACTTTTGGATGCTGTGCAATTGCCTCATCACCTGAATTCTGTTCAGCTTTTATCGTTGGCCCATTTTGAGCTACTGGCAGCTTCATTCCATGGACTGATTGATCACTGCTATCGCTTGCACCTGTAAGAGATGTCGAAGTCTGTTGTTTCAAATTCACCACATACAGCATTCATCCCTTTTAGGGTGTTCTTGGAGCTAAATTCCTATCCATAATAGTTGCCGAGTTTCACATCAACCAAGGAATCAATCTCTCTGCCTTTATTTCTTTTTTCCTTTCTTTTTAAACACCTGTCTCTCTAGATGTGGGGTTGTTTTTTTTTTCCATTTACAAGACTGAACCACTAAATAGCTTGAGTCTGTGTTGACAAACCCTGCAACAGTCCTTGCAAAAAGATTGTCAAATAGGCTGTGCTGAGACTTCTTCTAGAACCAGACATAAGATACTTACTCACTTTGAGTGCACTCTTCCAGAGGTCCAAATGCATTAGTAGCTTTGCTGAGCAATGCTTCTGTAGCTGAAAGCAGATGTCTGTGCTTTGTCCTTAGCTGTGCCAGCTATTTCGCCTTGGCTGAGACATCTAGAGGTAACAGTGCTTGGCAGGGCATTTTTTGAGTTGCTCTTTGCTTGGAGGATCTTCAAAAGCCCCTTGAGCTAAATATGAATATATGGTACACATGCAGAGTGAATGTTTATATGCAGAGTCACTAAAATAAAGGTAAATTGCTTGTCAGTAACTAAAATTCTTCAGGGTACTTTGTCTACATGAACCTTTGCTTGTTTCTGTCCTTGTTTTATCTTTTTTTTTTTTTAGGAAGTGAGTACTGAAATGGCGTTTCCTTGTACAGCATTGAATTAAATTCAGAATAGTGCATAATGTTGGGTGTGTCTTACTCTGCTCTGAGAGTGTAAGGTGCAGTCGGAGTATTTTTTTTTTGAGTAATCAAAAAATGTTTGTGGAATGAGAGGCTGTTTGATCGTCTAATTTGCAGTTCTTACAAGAGGAGCAAACCATTATTCAAGACTGTCCTTCTGCTACACAGCTAAGAAATTGTTGTCTCTTTTGGTTCTAGTTCCATCAATTGCATGCCTCCATCAGATATCCATCAGACACCAAATTCTCCATAGCATAAATTTTCATAAACTGATTTTAGGCTTTTTTGGGGAGTTTGGAACGATGCTGTTTTCCATGTGTTTCTTCCGAGTAGGCCATGCCAGATATCACAGTAGTACAATCTACTTTTTTTCCTTTTGATTCAGCTTTATTTTTGCTTAAGCTGTTCATTCAAGAAAGGTACTTATTTATTTGTGTGATATCTTCTGAGTTTCTGAGGGAGAGAGAAATTGAGTGGTTTTGATACTGACTCTTGGAAAAAGTCACTTTTATTTTCTCTGTTTTTATATTGGTAACATGGTATCTCAATAGTTCCTCAGCATCTGTAGATTATTAAACAGAATGTAGTTTATATAAATTACAATTTATATACCTACAAAAAAAGGCTTCTGCTGTTGCTGTTTTTTCTCTATTGCAGAAAAATCTGCTAGAGATTGAAAAGAAACTGAAAGAATTAAAGCCTGTTTCTGAGACTCAAGGTAAAGGAAAAAGAATACTTATTCAAGATATAGAGGATTCAGATGATGATGAAGAAAGAGGGGAAAATAGAGAAGAACATGAAGGAAGCAGCAGAAATAAAAGTAATGTCATGTCATTTCCTATTTAATTTTAATTTTTAATTAATTTTAATTTTAAGAGGAAAAAAATCATTGCCCTTGATAGTTCAATATTTATTGACATAATTAATTTATATTTGTTTGCAATGAATTTTGCCTGTTTGAAGACTAAAATTGCATTCACTACTTAAGTTTATATGGGTGTGATCCAGTATGAATCCAGTTTTATTACACATCTTTGGAATTATTTATATACAGTGTATAACAAAGACAGATGGGAAATGTTGCTATAAATCACCTACTTTCCTGGGTAATTTTGTACCTATCCGTTGATGTGGACCCAGTTGGGAATTTCTTCTGGTGTTAGAAAACAGTTTGTGTTTCTTAGCTCATTCTCTCGCACAGCTCTTCTGCCTTTCCACCATCACATTTTCCTTCTGCATTTTTTTTTCCTCTCTTGATTGGATCAAAGGGGCTGCTGAGGTGTTTTCATATTCATTGAGGTTGCTTTCATATTCAGCTGCCTATCTGGGATCCTGCAACAGAATAACTTCCTTTAGTTGATTTCCACCCTTTCTCCCCTCTGTTGGCTCTTTAAAGTAACGTGGCATGAAAACTGCGGCTTTTATGTTTTCCGTGGCCCATGTAGTTCTTTTTCTTGAAATTAAATCAGTCTGTGGGTTTTCCAACTTAATTGTGACTATTAGACTGTGTATGTGTGGTTTAATAATGCATTATTTGCACAAATTTAAGAAAAATACATATCAGTAGATATCCACTAATAGTCTTCTCAGCTACAGCCCTGGAAGAAAGGACGGATCATGTCCCTAGACTTAAATATTAGTTAATTAGGGGTTCCTTTCCATTGGGAGCATTCAGATGACTAATTGCCTTCTAGCTCCATAGGAAGACTCCTATTCCGTTGATGAAAGGTTAGGCTTTTAAACATAGGGAAGATTGTCAACTGACGTCAATCACATGTGTTCATGTGATATATGTAAGTATTTGTGAGATTTAGGAGGCAAGCATCTTCATAGATTACTGTTTTAAAGTAGAACTGGAAACAAATATGAAATCAGTTATTGAATAAATCTGATATGTTCTGTGAACCTAACAGTAATAAGTAGACTTAGAATCCTATATGTCTTCTCTGTACATCTAGACATGTAGTCACAGACAGCCCAGTAGCTCATGCAGGCCAGTCATGTAGTTGCATTTATTTCACATTCTAGTTGGCAAACGTCATGCATTCCTACTAAACTTATTATTTACTTGATGCCACAGCAGTTGGCTACAGATAATTATTTTTTGATTTTTTTTTCCCCAGTGTATTTTCTGCTCGATAGCACCAAATTAAGGTCTTTGGTATTGAACATGACAATACCGTGATTTGGAACCATTCTTAGATTGAAGAGCATCTCCTTGTATCAGTCCACTATCTTGTGTATCTTGTGACTTTGTTTTTTTTCACTAGATGGTCCTTTTTTGGGAATGTTGTTAGGAGCTGAATAGGTACGAAAACTCTCTCTGCACCCTTGATGAGTTATGCACTGTGTTCTCAACTGGTCTTGACCATTTGTCATTTCTCTGATGAAATGGGCATTCTGACCTTAAATAGAATTGTCATTGTAATAACTGATTTACAGCTTTCCAAAACAAATAGGGATTGATAACACTATTTTAATTTCTCTTGTTGATTTTCTAAACAGGTTTTATGAAGTCAACATTTCCAAATAAAGCTGGAATCTTTGTCTTTACATTTTTACTTGAACTATTCCATGTGGAATAATGAAACATTTATTTGATGTTACAGATAATTCTTCAGCGTATGTGTTCATGTTTCATGGCTTTTCACAGAAAACAGTACGGTCTTAGATTTGCATTTTGAAGTTTCTGATGTGTTAAGAAGCAAAGTTTATTGGGTAGGAGACAACTAGAGCTCTTCCCTACTCAAGTGATCAGTTGTGCTTGCTGTTACATTTTCTGCATTCCTGGTATTGCTTTCTGCTCTCCTCTACCACTGAGGCTTTAAGATAATTGAGATGTTATCTCTTGATTAATGCTTTCTGGCTGCTCTGCATCCTTGCTCACTTGGCCTTTATGCCATATATGAGTTCGTGTCTGTCCAAATCTTAATTTGTAGTAATCTCTGTGACTAGAATTTGACTGCAATAGGAAGTTTCTTTGCTATTGTAGCCCTGAATAATTGATTGTGTCTGTTGTTCTTATGGTTAGAAGCCTTATTGATGAGGTCTTGTATGAGGACATTTGGCCACCTTGTTATCCAATATAATAGTTATTCTGTATTTCTTGATCCCTCCTTCCAGCCCGCTTGTTCATTTGCTGTATTTGATTTTTAGAATTGTAAACACTGTGAAGAAGGAGCTGTCATGTAGAACTAATTTGTATAGTGTCTAGCACAATGGACCCCAACCTCCTGGGGCTTGTAGGCTTTATTGCAAGGTAGTGATATGAGAATTTAGATCATGTTAAAAGAAACAGCATTGAAAATTAAGTCTAGAATTGCATTTGTAGTGCATATCCTGAAGTTAAGAAAACCCCTCAATTACAGTGTCAGTATAAATGTTGACCATTAAATCTTTTTTCATTCTTTCTGAATAAAGAGTGCTCCTAAGCAGTCAGATCAGAGTTATCTGAGAAGTCTGTTCATTGTATGTTATGGCTCAGAACAATCCAGGTACAATCTCAATCAGCTAAACTAAGAACATGTAATACAAAACAGGTATTTGCTGACTGACTGTGTGTGGCACAAAAGCAAAAAAAAAATTTAAAATTATTAAAAATTAATCTGTGGAGATTTTGACCGTTCCAGTTGCCTTCATATGTAGGCAGTCCAGAGCACATAAGAGTTGAAAATGTTTCCTGGTTTTGTAATGGGCAAATTCATTGTGAACTAAAATTAGGTATGTTGCTTTTCATTTGCCACCACTATTTTTGTGCCAGGCTTCTGGAGTATAAATCCTTTGTGTAGGTGGAAATTAATTTTAAAGGAAAGACAATGTCATCTATTACAAAAAAAAAATTTCAAATATTCCTTTTGGAGTGTTCAGTGGTTTTTGTTTTATGACAGTCCTTCCATTTTAAGTTCATCTTTTTAGTACCAACATTTATTCTTTCTGGTTTGTATTTGTTGTTATTCTGTTCAGAATCCTATCCATGCTCTACAGTACCCTTCTTTTCTTTAAGTTGTCTTTGGAATTGATACTGCATCTTGACCTTTTTTATTTCCTTTTTCTTTTTAAAGTTCATAAGCTCTGATTTTAATTTTTTTTTAAGGCAAAGCCTAGAATACATATGGCTGTCATGAATACATTTCTCTGTATCAACACGACAGGAATATTGTTTATGTATAAACACTGAAACTGAAAGACAGTGAAAATTAGGTTTGAGAAATGTATCTGTACAATTTTGTGCATGGTGTTTACTCAGTCCAGAAATATTTAGGCAATTGGCATGACCTGACAGCTAAACAAGTTAATTATGAGTATTTTTATTTTCGGGGGGACTCCAAGTGCTATAAATGTTTCCCATTTAATCCAGGATTCGTTCTGTGCACTTCACCTTCAGGAAATTTTCTCCTATATTCTGGAAATGATGTTTGCATTAATGACATTCATATCACGCATTATCTGCCTTTCTTGCTTTTTCTTTGTCTCTAGAGTTGGGACGCTTTCCAAGAGTGTTTTGCTGTACAATTTTTTTAAAAACCTTGTCCTATCACCTGTTTAAATGTCTGTGCCATTTGGTTTTTCCTTTTATTATTATGTTTTTTAAGTAGGTGGTGTGTAGATTATTCTGTGTCTTGGTGGATGTAACATAAAAGGATTTTAGCATGTATCCTAAGGAACTTATTATAGTGCTCCTGTCTGCACTCATCTGCTGAGCTAGCCTTTTACCCTCATCCACCGACCAAATAGATTTTAAAGCTTTTTGGCATATTTGGCACTGCCAAATTTGATGGATGAATGGATGGAAGTATAAAATATAAATAATTTACTTAAGTTTTATAAAAATACCTGTGTGAGTAGAATAGATTTATCCTGTCATTGTTCCCACTGTGGAGTATGAGCATACTATTAAACAAAATGACTTTAAAACAGAGACCACAACTAGAAAGGATGGAACTTTTGTCTATTAGGCACTAGAGAATCTATTGTTTATAAAATCTTATTCTTTCCCACCCTGTTCAGTTTGATTTTGGTAATATTTTGTGCATTATAAAAAAAAAAAAATTATGGTTTTCAACGACCTGGTGTTCATGCATATTCAGTCAACTTCAGAAGTTTGGTTTGAGTCAATTGAAGGTATCACTCCAATATATAAGGGCATGAAGAAATTCTGCTGGACAGATGAGCACCTCAAGTTAAGGGATGCATCCTTAATTGATAGTACAAAAACACAGAAGTGCCTTTGTGTGACTGGTAGAATCAAGAGTCAGGCGTTCTGCTGAAATCAATATATGAATGCTGTGGTGATAATCTCTTAGGAATTCAGATGAATAAGGAAGTTATATAGGTTAATATCGGATACCCTTATTGCATGGGTTTTTTCCTAATTAAAATAATAACAGTAGTGAAAATGGAGTGATCTGAACTCTCTACAAAGGCTTTTTGACATGAATGAAACTTTTGAAAGGAAACCTTTTTCAGAATGATTTTTAAGCTTTTATCCCTCCTATTCCATGTTGTATTTGGGGAGAGTTTTGAAGTGTGGAACATTACTGGGCTGTTAGCCGCGTGTTCTAATTTTGACATGCAAGCATTTGGATTTGGTCACGGAAAAATCAAAGTCTCAGTATTGTACCAGCCAGTATTTAAAGAGTTAATGTCAAGGTGAACTCTGTACCATTCTGGCCTTACAGAAGAGGGGTTCCCAATGTGCCTGGCAAGGAGCAATGAGATTTCACAGTAACACGTTCTCATGTTACATTCATCTGCAAGTTACAGTAAGTAGGATTTTTTTCTGTGTTCTGGGAAGTGTTTTCTGAGGCAAATAAATCTTCGTAATACTAAGACGCCTGGAGGATTCGGTACCGTGCTCTTTGGCTGTACACCCCTCTCTTGCCAGGACGATAGTTTCTTCTGATGATGCAAGCTCTAACTCAGCTCATTAACTTCCTTGCAGCAATTAGCGTGCCAGTCGGAGGAGAGGCAGCTGCGGAGGAGGGAGCGATGGGGAACGCGCAGAGAAAGTTTCACAGCAAAGGCGGTGGCGGGAAGGCGGAAGACAGAGACACGCAGAAGGAGAAGGAATCCAATGAGAGCGGATTAAAAAAAAGCACAGCGGAGAAGAAAAGACAAAAGCGTTCATCAGACCACCAGAGTGAAGTTAATGGCTATTTACAGAGCGATCAGAAGAGCGAAAGCTCTGAAGCCGAGCTCTCCGGACCGCAGGGAGCGGGGTCTCAGGCGGCTGGTGGTGGCAGTTCTGCTTCACTTCCTCCTGCTGCAGCAAAACTGAAAAGTGAAGGAAATGAGTTGTTCAAGAGTGGACAGTTCGGGGAGGCTGTGCTCAAATACTCGGAAGCCATTGACTATGTCATTGGTTTAGGTGAGTGCAAGACCTTATACTTAAATCTAGGATTATTGCTTAGATTATTTAAAGGAACTGCAAATGAACTAGCCTATCCCTGGATTTTTGCCAGGAGTTACTGTGCAGTAAATTCTGTGTCATTGTCAGTAGAGGATAATTCATATGGTACAAAATATAGGAAGATGAGTAAAATAATCTTTTAACTTCCTTGGGGCAGAGCTGTTATGTTTTATTTATGTATTGAATAATTACATATTCTTGGTGACATGATAAAGGAAAGCTCCTTGCAGCTTTGCATTGTCAGCAAACTGCATCACTGCAGTGCACCTTACAGTATGCAAGTCTTAATTCTCAAATGTCATTTTAGTAATGGTCTTTGATTTCAATTGTAACTTCTTGTAGGAGAACCAAGTCCAGATGATTTAAGTGTCTTGTACTCAAACAGAGCAGCGTGTTATCTCAAAGAAGGCAACTGCAGTGACTGTATTCAGGATTGTAACAGGTAAATTGCAGCCTCCCATGTGGAGCAACAACATTCCTGATGATGATTAAACATTTTAATTGATAGATTGTTATTGCACTTTGACTTAGAACAATCCAGTAGAGTCTGTTTCCCTGCCTAAATGATACATATCTTTGTCAGTTATGTAAACAATCACATGGAACCTAGGAAAGGAATAAGTTTCAAGTTACTGTCTTACTGTGAGAGCAGTTATTTGGCTTCTTGTGTACACAGAAATGGACAGTAGGCTTGAAATTTTTAGTATAAAAGCTGGCTTACTTCAGTGATGTTCTGTAGTAACTTATATGTAAAAGCTTTGTTAACCCAGATGCTTATGGTGTATATGTGTGTGTTCACTGTGTTGGTTTGTTGTCTTGTTTCATATTTTTTAAATACATACGTGGCATAGTTATAAACAGTAATTACGTCATGCTTATTTTGGCTTTTAAGGATACAGGAATTAGAGAGGATCAGACACCTTCAATAACTTGCAAACACTGCAAAAATGTCTTTTTTCATATTTTCATAGCGTTAGTACGACTGAGGCTTAAGGTGCAAAAAAGGATCCCAAGGCAGTTAGAAATCATATTAATTAATCAGTTGGGTTTTTTACAGCACAACTCAACTGTTAATCCCCCAAACTATAATAAAATATGCATGTAACTTTGTATTAACCGAATATTTGACTTACTATATATATTGTACTTGACAGAAAAGTTTTCTGAAAAAGTAATCTGAAAAAATTTGTTAACAATAGTTTGTTAAAATAGATGTGGGACCATAGGCAGCTGGTTGATGAAACAAGATGGCATACTTAACAGCCATCATATTTTTCTGTTCAGGAGGTCTAAAGTATGTAAGACTGCAACTGAAATCAGTAATAAAAAGGTTTTGGGTTTTGTATTCTTACCAATTGGAAGTTTTTTCTTACTACTTAATGATAGTGTCCTTAGCATCGTGCATATTTTCTGGATACACAAGGACCCATGATGCTTAGTAAGCACAATAGAGGTAGAAATAATTTAGAGACTGGGAAGCAGAACTGCAAAACTGCAAACACACATGAATTAATCAATGTCAATTAAATCTTCTCTAGGCAACACAACATAAAGGATGATCTACGGATAGGTTACTTGATTTCAGAGTAAAAATGGTGTAGTGCTTATATTTGTGGTAGAAAAATACGTCTTGAACATTGTCTCTTGCTGAGTTTTAGCTATTTAGGGCTTAGAAGTGTATCAAAACCATTCTGCTGGATCTCTCTGTCTCAAGACACTGATTTGGAGTGTCTTTGATTCTTGTTACAGAGAGTGAAATAGGACTCCTGTGCACTAATGCTGTTTTATTGAGCACAGTGATGTGGTTTGGTCCCTGGCTGTATTATCTTTGCATTCTACCCTGGAAATGTAGTTTTCCATTCCCACTGATGTTATTCTTCAAGTAGTTTCGTCTTCCCTGAATTTATTTATGGTTGTTTTTTTCTTAATTCTTGATGTTAGAAGAATATAAATGCAATTTCAGGTTCCTGAGTTACAGAATGTCAAGCATTTTTGCAGAGGTTTTGTAGGAGCTATGATGTTGTGCACTGTTGTATTTTTCCAATGCATTCAGCCACATAAAGAGAAATGGACTGTTGGAAGTATTTATGAAATGGAAATTGGAAATGTTTATTCTAGGAATCATTGTTTCTCTAGCTTTAGGGGAGGAGTAGTGCTGCAAAGCCAGTTTACAGCAAAGGCAGCCAACTGCCTCCTGGGCTCATAAACAGGAGCACAGCCGGTGGATTGAGGAAAGGGTTGTCCCTTGCACTCAGCACTTGTGAGACAACATCTATGGTGACTGTGCCGGTTTTTGGCTTCCCAGTACAAGAAAGATTGTGATCAACTGGAATGAGTTCAGTGAAGTGTCACCAAGATAGTTGTGAACTCTGGAGCACTTGCCTGGAGAAGAGAGGCCAAGGGAGCTGGGTTTGTCCAGCCTGGAGCAGAATGGCTTCCAGGAGACCTAACAGCAGCCTGCCAGTACCTTTGAGGAGATTATCCAGACATCCTGGCTCTTTCTGGCAGTGCATTGTGGAAGGACAAGAGACAACAGCCAAAATTGAACCATACAAGATTTGGGCTGTGTATTAGGAGAAACCCTTTCCCCAAGAACAGTGGGGGGCATTGCAACAGGTTGCCCGTCGATGATGTGAAGAGATTGCCTTGGAGGTTTTGAAGGCCCAACTGGATAAAGCCCTAAGCAACCTTGTCTGATCTCAGAGCTAACCCTGTCTGTAGCAGAAGTTTGGACTAGGGATCTCTCAGCCTGAAGTACTTTATGATTCCATGAAATTGAATTGACTAGACTCATCTTAATTTCAATATTTCAAAATTTATCTCTTTCTTTAGGAAGAATCACTGATTAATAAAAGGTAGTTTCTAATAAATAATGCCTTTGTGCCCACTTTTTAATATTGCTGGAAAAGTGTGTGGTGTTTGGAAGGAGTACTGATTGCACAGTGTCAGGGATTGAGCTCAGTGTTTGTTGACCAGGCAGACAATCAGAAGACTAAACAAATACAGACAAAAACCTAAAAGCCAAAAAAAGACAGGTGTATATTCATGTCTTACTAAATGTATTTTTACGTGCAAACTTCTGTGGAAGGAAAAACTGAAAATCATGTAGGCAAAAGCACCATAGGCATGACTTAGGAAAAATAATTTTTCCTCTTAACAGCTGCCATTACATTAGCCATCTTTCTTGGTCATGAAAGCAGTTTTCCAAATGGAAGATAAGGATTTAAGTAGAATAAGTTGTAGTAAAAGCATTCACAATTTCATAACTGCATGTCATTTAGGGTATTAATATAAACCACTTAGTCCCATTTGCCTTGGTTATGTTACTGTAAGGCCCATCTGAAATTCTGAAGTTGTTAAATATAGTTGTGTATATCATAAACCAGTTTTATTAATACTATTTAAGTTTCTCAGTCTCAATCCTGCATTTTTCTTTTGATTTCTCCAGAGCTCTGGAGCTTCAGCCATTTTCCCTTAAGCCTCTTCTACGACGAGCGATGGCAAATGAGTCTATGGAGCGGTATCGACAGGCATACGTTGATTATAAAATAGTCCTACAAATAGACAGCAGCATCCAAGCAGCGAATGATAGTGCTAATAGGTAACTCCACTTACAGTTTTTCTGATAATTCATCCAAATAGAAAAGTAGAATTGAATTCTGTTTGCTTTACATGCTCCCTCTGTTCAGTATCTCTGAGGCAGGGCTGTCACAGCTAGTGAGACTGGCTGTTTCAATTAGTTGTTTCCTCGTAGCTTCATGTTTTCCTCTGCCAGCAGTAGGTCACTTTCTGTTTTAAAAATGTAATATTTTAAAGGCTTTTTTTACTGGTTCTTCGGCTTGTTTTCTTTCTGAACTTGTATGTGATACCATGTAAAGTAATATTTAATTTTCTCTGACATTTCTGTTTCCTTCTCATATTAGCAGTCTTCCTCTAGCAGTTGGAGATTTATAAGTGTGAAACCTTCTGCATGCTGTAGTTGTATAAACACTGAAGTAGCTTGATACAATGCTTGGCTTCAAGGCTTAGAGGTGTAAAAAATACAATTGAGTATTATTTTTAAATTAAGTGTTAATACTTCCAACGTTAATTCTTGCTGCCAAGAAGCATCCCAATTCCTATAATTGTATTTTAACAGCATAAAATTAGCGTATGCACGCTATTGTGTTCACATTAACATGTAGTAAGTACTTAAATGTGTGAATGATAGGATTTTCCATTTCCTTTTTCTTTCCTTTTATCTTTTAATGGGCAAAAAAAGTATTCATGAAAGCAGACCAGCCATTAATCATTGAGCAGCAAACCACGTGCAGGCGACTGTTAGCAATGGAATCTAGTAACTTTTTTTTTTTTAGGCAAGGCTATGAGCACTTCCCTTAGTACATCATTAAAAAGTCCATAATATCTTTAAATTCTGTGTATTTGACCAGAGATGGCCAAAGGAGATCACAACACTTTATCATCTCCTCTTAGAAGTCTTATTTTTGATAACGCAACAAATTGTGACTGATCTCCTGTATCTATGGAGATAATAGAGCACTTGGATTGGTGAGAGAACTGCTCATCCTGGTGTCTGTGTGATTAGGATACTTTTTTTGAACCTTCTTGGCTTATTTTATCTGCAAATACTCTTCTCATATTTCTCCTTGACTTGTAACTTGCTTAGTAATAAGCTTTTTCCCTTTTTTCCCTTAACACTCTTCCTTTTCTCCTCTCTAGGCCTTCCTTATGTTTTTAGCTTCACTGCTCATAACTCTTTCCTCCCTGGCAACCCATCACCTTATTTCAGCTGCTTCTTCCTTCTTCTCTTCTGCTGGTAATTCATTTTTGCTTGCAAATTCTTAGTTTCTAAAGCATAGACCTCCCACGTAATTGAAGTTTTACTATAATTTATTTTTTAATATTTTATCATTTATGAATTAAGCTGAAATTGTTTACCGAAGTATTCATTTCCAAAAGAACAAACTTTTTAAAAAATGAATTTTAACAAAAAATGTTAGTTCCTTTATTGCCTTTTAGCTGAAAGGGACAACCCCAAAATGTAATTTAATTTTTTTTTTTATACTAGGAATATAGGGTCTTAACAACCTGCTTTTATTGGAGATTTCTTTGGTTTTAATTTCCTGTGGGAAGTTGCATGGTGATGTGTGGGAAGCCGACAGGAAACACTCATTATCCTACTTTTGTCTAAGGGTTTGACAAATTGTGTTAAGGCTTGTCTTTCTGTACTTACCTAACTAAGCAGGCTTTCCAAAAATCTTAGAATCAAATGAGTGTTCAGTCTAATATTTCTAATAGTTCTTATGTAAAAGACAAGTAGAATTTTTAATATAAAGCCTTTACCTGATAATATAAAGCCTTTACTTCATCATTTTGCAATCAGAAGGAAATAATCAGGAATGTAAGTACGTATTTTTGTGAAAAGTCAACTGAAAACAAGTATAAACAGTCATTTGAGTGTTTATCATGTTGATTTGATGATGCTGAATTATGTTTTTGGTTATCCTGAGGTGATTTTTAGATAAATTGGAAGGAGTGTTCTTTTAATGGTGTGTGCCAAGTCACAGGAGAATGCATTTCAAGCATGCTTTTAATTAGCGGCACTTTTCCTACCGTTGTGAACATCAATGAATTTCCTACTTTGTGTATTTTAATTTCTTCTTGAGTGTTCTGTTATTTGCCATTAGAAATACAGAAGCTCTATTTGGGGAAACATGTTTATGCATTTCCATTTACTAAATTGGAGTTTCATTCCAGTTGTCTCAACTCGCTTAACATCAGTTCACAAGCTGCATTAGATAGGTTGGAAGCTTTTGGTCCAAAGACCAATATGAGTATTGTACTGTGCAGAGAAATTTGTGATAAACTCCAAAACTGCAGGATTGTTGAGCCTAGTTAGGGCATGTGTGGTGGTGACTAAGTATATTTGTCCCAGTTTTATCATGAGATACCTGTGGTTTTTAAACTAACCATGGCACACAGGTAGGCATTTTTGCAAAAGGCTGTGCTTAGATTATTATATTACAAGAAGTTGATTAATCTGTTTATATTCATCTGCTTACATTGATGAATGAGACCAGGTTTTTTCTCCAAATTTTTAAACCCATTATGATAAATGGAGTAAAATTAAACGGAGAGTCAGTGGGATCATGGTTTACTGTAGAATTATTCTGCTACTTTCAATGAGAAATACCTAAATGGAATAAATTGGCTTTTTAATAGGAAGTGCACAGTTTTGTTCTCTAATAAAATAACCTGAGTAAAACTTAGGGCTGTTTAATTTATGATGGTGTGCCACATTTTTATTAACAATTCAGACTGTCATTAAAAAACCCTAAAGTTTTAGTATAAATAGAGCAAAAAAGGACTTGAACAAGCTGCTTTGTTGGTGCATGTTGATACATGTGGAGGAGAGCCCCTGGAGGGGCATATGCAGCTAACGCATGCAAAAATATTCTTCTTATTCACTTAGAAAACAAATAAGGCAACTAGATAATACTAGGAAATATGATGTTCTGTGTGTGAAGAAACTTACTTTCAGTTAAAAAAATATAAGAAATGGTATGTTCCACGCAGCATTATGTGATACATAAAATCACACATTATATAGCTCTACAAACGACCTTTGTAGTCTGTATTGTTAGTTAAACTATTACGGTAATGTCTGTTTTAGAATAAAGAAGATTAGAACAGGTGCTGCTTCCTGTATTGTTTTTTCTATCAGACCCTAATGGGGAAAAAAATTTGGTCCTGAGTGCTCTGACTGTGTCGCCATAGTATTATACTGAGGCTTCAATTTGTTTGTTTTATAACTGTGATTCAAATATTTTAAAAAACAGAACTAAGCAAGTTTTGGGTAATTTTTGCTCATTCTGTCTCATTCTTCATGTGACAATAATCATAATCAAGGTTCTTGATTATTTATTTTTTTAATGTGTACATAGAAATGCACCTAAAATGCAAATTCCAGGTTTGTTGGCTCTAGCATCAATGTGACTTGGTTTATGACTCAATTCAGAATTTTCCTTTGGTAAAGTAGATATAAGACTTACTATCAGGTGAACTCAACTCAAGCTCATTGTGAGATCAGAAGATGTTTATCTCACTATTAATTGATTAATATTTGTTTGGGTTTTTTTTTTAAAAAAAAAAAAACTGCAAAAATTGTAATGGAAGCATGAAGTCTTGTATGGATTTGCTGATTCTGTACTTGGGGCCCTCTCCAAAACGTACCACAGCAATGAGGAGCTCCCACTTGAATGGATTTTGGATTGAACTTCACATGTATGGAAATAGTTCACCTATAAATAGATGTATATTGGTTTAGGAAAGATTAAACGGTTTTTATATATTTTCTTAGCATTATTAAATGTGGATAAAGAGTGAGTGATTGGCAAATTTCTGACTGTTCTATAAAATGCAACTTAATACCTACTTTTTGACCAGCGTTGGTTATTTAGAGAATTGTTGTGTAAGAGGTTTCATTTGACATTGGCAAATTTAAGTACCACACTTTGAGGATATTGTAATCTATATTTGTTACAAATAACATCTATGAACAACTGAGAAAAGTAAACAAAATAAATAAATCCATTTTTTTCCCTATTTCATTATTGCATGGGCTAAGCAGCATTTACAGCTTAGTTGCAGAATCAGTCATTTGCTAAATATTTACAGATCATGCTGAAGTCAGCTTTGTGTCTTCCAAATAAGTACTCTAAAAAGTGGAAAAAGTCTAAGTCTTAATTGAGTGCAATACCATTGACTGATGTGACAATCTTTTTTTAAATTAATCCTAAGGATAATGGGTCAGTTGTTTTTTGAAAAATTGGAACGCTGCATTATTTAATTTAGGTGTAAGTTTTTAAAGTGTGAGTTAAAGATATGAAAAGTCATGTTGGTGGGGCTTTTCTCTTTCAGAATAACAAAGACTTTGATAGATCAGGATGGTCCCAGTTGGAGGGAGAAACTACCACCAATTCCAGTTGTCCCAGTTGCTGCTCAGCAACACCGGTGGGATGGAGGAAACTTCACTTCAGAGAATAAGCCAAAAAGTACTACAGATATCAACAGAGAAGAACAGTTGCAGATGGATCGTATGTATAACTAATGCAAATGTATATACAAAAGACAAAATTATTTTAATTGAAAAATGGAATACTATTTAATAATGTCAAAGAAGCTGCTTTAGAAAATATATTAGAGACCCTTGTGAAAAGCTCTTAGGTGATGGTCATTTACATGATTGGGTTTAATGTGCTTTATGGAGCACATATGGAGTTATTTTATTAAGTAAATTTTTTTAAGCCAAGTGATGTGGTTTGCAGCATGCAATTTCTGAAGTTATGTAAAATAAAAGAAAATACAGCAGAAATACTCACCAGCAGTATATTGAGGCCTATCACAAGTATCAGTAGTTTCCCTGACATCATACTACAGTTATAACACAATTTTCTACAGAAGAACCCCACCACCCAAACACCCAACCTCAGTAGCATAATCAGATGCATAATCTGTAGCTGTCATTCAATTTTTTATGAAAGCATTACTCAGCTCTTCAGAACAGAAAGGGTGGACTTGCGGGTGACTAGTAGTTAGTGAACAACACTCCTGATTTTTAAATTTTTTTTATGCTGGATTCTGACTTTCTCAGCAGCCATTTGGTAGTCAACTTTCACAGATGTTAGTTCTGGACTTGTTTACGCATAAGCTCTGACTCCTTAACTCCATTAGGATGCTTTCTTCCTCGTGACTTTTTTCCCTTCATTACAGTTTCCATTTTTTTACTCCGGTAAATCAGGAGAAGGAACCTTTCTGATTCAGTTTTTATTGACATTGAACATTCTTTTTGTAAAGGCCTTAACTGTATGATTTTTTTCTTTTATTCAATTATTAATTGTTTCCCCTTTGAGTTTATTTCAATGTAAAGAAGAGTAGTGCTGAAGATAACCTCCCCTCAATTAACACAGGGAAGGCTGCAATGCGTAACTGTGTTGCTGGCCGCATACGCAGCAGTGATAGGGTTATCTGTCCGTCGTTGCTGTCTTCCAGATAATATTGAATTTATTTGTATCTGATGTAAAATGACTTAGAAATATGTGTGTTTAAGAGAATTGGACATTTTTCTCAAAAATAAGACGTTGTTCTAGAAACTTTTAATAGTGTGGTTTATATACAATTTGAATAGTAATTCATACTAAACTTTGGTCATGCTGCAGAGAATTATTTTTCATTTAAGAAACCTGACGCATGTTGATGTATAATTTAAGCTTAATTAAATTGATAAAAATTTTACTCTATTTTTTAAAATGTGCATTTGCAAGTATTTTCATTACAGTTGTTGTCAGTACATGCCATTAGTGGTACATCCCTCTTAAATCCAATTGCTGCCCAGTCCTTAACTTTTGGGTTTAACTGAAGTAGAAAACTGCTTTTTGCAGAGTAGTTGCTATTAAACATAAATTCTTCACTTGAAAAGTGCTTTTTTGTTGTACTGACTATATTCCAGGCTTTTCCAGTTGTTATGGAATACAACTTGTTGGATTTTTACTTCAATGTGTAACCAACCTATTTGACTCCTGAGAACACTAGTGATCGTGTTTAGCCTCTTACAGAAGTTAATGAAACTGATCATTGCTGTCTTCATTAAGCATGCTCTTAGGCTGTGCAGTCATTTTTCTTCACTGGTGCCAGAGGCGTGCCAGCAGTAATGTTCAGCCAGTAGCTAAATCTTACTGGTTTCTTTGCAAGAACTGTTGGTTTTTGTGTGTTACAACTTGAGTTATAATTTAGTTGTGTGTTTTGCATACATCTGGTCTGATTTCATGTTATGTAATTTTTTTCCCTGAGTCCACATGTAGTTTTCTGGCATAGGAGACTGCCCTGTTTTTATAAAAGAACCCACCAAGTTTAATTATTGGCTAAGTCACCTGGGTATATACAGTGTTTAAAACCTAAAGCTTGGCAAGGGGCTCATACTCTTTAGCAAGGTACAAACAGTAGAATTTTCATTATGATTTACTTAGAGCTATGTTGCTAATTATTGTTTGCTCACAACAGAGACACAAAACTGCAATCAGGGTTGGTTTTCCACTGCAAACATAGCTAAAAATTGTAGTCTAACCCAGAAGCAACAATGCAACAGAGGATGTGAAGTTTAGAAGGAAAGACAATTGTGGAAGAACACAATGTTAATTAAAAAAGTATAGTTAGGTGTTTTCAGGTTCCTCAAAGCATCTTTTATAAATAGTTATTTACAGAATATTACTGATGTATCACTAACAACCCCTACTGATGTGATGAGTTGTTTGTCAGATTAGTATAGTAGTTGTGATACGTGGTTGCTCGCAGAAAGAATGCTAGATCAAATTATGGCCACCTTGTTGTGCTGGTGAAGGTCTATTAGGCCTTTAATCCTGCTGATTAAATCTCCACCATTGTTAATAAAACTGGTGTCAGGTATGTGGAGGTACATAGTCCAGAAGGAGGTGAAAGAGTAGAGCTGGCTGTTGCATTCCCATTATTTTCAGCAAAATAGTTACCCTGGGGCATGGGGAAGTACGTGTTGTGCCAGATGTAGATGTGGCAGTTTACACAGTTCTTAGAGCAGCGGGGAGATCGGGGGCAGAAATGGCAGTGTGTGGACTGATAAAGATACTCCAGTTGTCTGGCTTTTATTCTTAGTCTGGGTAGATTATTCAGCTACCCTTAATGAACTGACCTTCTTACGTAACACTGTGATCCTTTTGTCATGTAGGTGAGAAAGCTGAGGAGGAGTTCAAGACGTTAAAAAATGAAGGGAATGATTTTGTAAAAAAGGGTAAATATGAAGAAGCTGTAAATAAATACAGCGAATGCATGAAGTTAAATACCGAGGAATGTGCGATCTACACTAACAGGTAAAAATGTAAAATCTAACCCCACTTTCTGGGATAACAATAGTTATATTTTCTCACTGCAAATACAGATTTCACATTCCTTCAGTTACTTTTGTAAAAAAATGATTTATTATTTTTTTTCTACTTGATGAGTGTATCTAACAGCAAAATTGATTTTTTGTTAAACTGCGTTATTTTCCAATGAGAGTAAGTATTAATGTCAGTGTTATGTATCTTAAAATCATTATATAGGTAGAGTAAGCAATAGTAAAAGTTAGATTTAGTATAACATGTTGCAGCATTTTTTCGGAATACTGGTATGACTTTAATTACTGCTACTGCACTTTAGTTTTTATCTCAAATATGAAGAGTAGTAATTCAGAGAATATGTACATTTTGAGAGAGTAAAAGTAGGTACAGGGTCATGCAACAGCATTATTTTAAAGGTTGACCTAATTCTGCAGCGTAGTTCTTTATTCTGTAATCTTATCAGCTTTCACAAACTAAGAAGGATTTGATTAGGCCAGAACTTGAATAGGAGACTTCCAAGTAATAATTAGGTGCAGAAAGCAGTATTGCTTGTTTAATCTAGAGCACTTTTTTTTACCCAGAATGGCTGTATAAAATCAATTACTATATCAGCTACTATACTCTCATATTATACTAACATAGGCTCTGCTTTTAAAATACTTAAATATCTGCCTAACTTCAAGCATTAGTCATACTTGGAATTTTGGCTTTTAGTGCAGGAATTGGCACTCTCTAAATCTGTCCAGTGATGTTACGTACTGGTTTTTATGTACTTTAAAAAATACCACGTTGAGACTGAATTGTGTGAAGTATTTTAATTAGCATTTATGAGTCAGATACTGTTGGCACTACAGCGCTGTAGAATTTACTTATATTGCAGTGTATTCTGTTTTTCTGTGTTAGAGCTCTCTGTTACTTGAAACTGTATAAATATGAAGAGGCTAAGCAAGATTGTGATCATGTTCTTCAGATAGAAGATTCTAATATTAAAGCTTTTTATAGAAGAGCACTAGCGTACAAAGGATTACAGGTGAGGAAAAAGAACATGGCAGGTATTAAGCACTTCTAAACTTGCTTATCCTCTTCAAAGGCAATCAGGTAGTTGCAGTCAATGGGTGAATACAAAAAAGTATGCACTGATGATGATTTACTACTTTGTAGAGCATTAGGCATACTTAAAATACTGTATAAATATTTTTGCAACTTAAAAACCTGCATATATTGATTTGTAATAATTTGAGAGAATACAAGAATATTGGAATAAGTGAGGTTTTACTGGAGATGGGTTAAGCAAGTTTCAGCTCTTTTCTAATATTCTTCTGGGTATCCCAGCCTGTTTTATCTGTCAGGGTTTTTACTAGATCTTTGCAGATGACAAATGGATTCTCTCCAAGTCTGTCTTCATCTGTCCAAACTACAGTCCCAAGCTGTCTTTTGGCATCTGCTCATATTTGAGTGCTTGTCATATTGAACCAGGGTATTAATTATTTTTATTCTCTCACTCTTCCTTCTCCAAACACATTACAAACCTTTGTCAGTAATCTCCTTTCTCACTCTGCTGACAGTGTTGGTAGCCAGCCTCTCCCTTTCTGTCTACGTGGTGGTGGTGGTTTTGGTGCTGTGCTCATCTTACACACTGCCTTTTGAGTATCCTTCTACCTGATCATCATAAATGCAGACTTATATTGCTCATATCCATCCTGAATGTGACTGCAAATCTTGTATTCCATCACTTGATGGAATGTTGTTCCTTTTGTCCATCCCTCTGTTCGTTCCCCTTCTTCAGTGATGTTAATTAGCCTCTAAACTTCATAATTCTTTCATAGCAATCCTTACCCTACCTGTCAGCTTGTACCTGTTACTGAATTAAGAGCTTCACATTTTTGTTGGCTCATGAGGGCAGCTATCATAATCTATTTTGTAATAAATCTTATAAGTGTCTGTCTTTAAACAAGCATCTTAAGCAGTTTCTCCCATGTTCTTCTTTGCAACTGGAGGTGATCACTCCAGGCATCAGTCAAGTTTCAGCAGTGTCCATCAAATGAATACTTACCTCAGACCTCCATTATGTTTGATGCCTTCACAAAAAATGACCTGACTGTCTCTCAGCTTACAAATCACCCGAGGAGAACCTGTTTGTGCTTAGGCTGTTCTCATCCAATGTTATAATTCCAAATGCAAGTCATAGGATCTTTCATTTGGGATAAAGCTGTTCCTCTGTCACAGTAGCTATGAAATTTTGAAAGTTGGCTTTGATTAATTTTCAAAGAAGGTGAAAAGTCTTAGTATTGTCTAAAATATTTTCTGTAACTGTACCAAGCTACCTGGTATTAATCATCTGTAACCTTATGTTGTTGAAGGTGATAAAAAAATGGATAAATATGAACAAAGGTACGTAGTGGTTCTACCAGTCAAAAAAGGGAGTTACACACTAGTGAAGAATGTCAAGAATTGGAGAAATAACTTCTGTTTTTTTGAATATCTGAGGAAAAAATGATATTCTTGTTATTATTGAAGACATAACCACATTGGTCATGGATTCCTGCAGAACAGTCTGATCTGGAGACTCACAAAATGTTTCGTTGTGGTTGGATTTAATGCCTTCATTATTGCTAATTCCAGGGATGAAGGTTATTCGTAAAACCAGAAAAAGCAACAAAAGTGATTTGAGGTTGACAAATGACTCTGTAATGAAAAATTTTAAGAGCTAAAAGCATGTAGTTTGGCAAAGTCCTAACTAAACTGGGAAGTGTTACTTGTATATAAATACCCAGATATTTAACCACAAAAGCTGCAGTGCAATTTAATGTAATACATTAAGGTTTTTTAAGAGATTTACGGAGATGTAGTTAAGGGAAGATCAGGAAAAAAATCATGGTTGTGTGATGAATTAGGTCTGTAACATAGGACATGGGACCCCAGACTGCATCTGCTACAGCTGATGCTCCAGTCTCTTGCTTTGGGTACAACCATCTTGTGTGATTTCTGTTGAGAAGTCGGTCAGGCTGCGACTTTAAATCCAGGAGGGTTGTTTGTTTGCTGACCTTGTGATGGTTTTCAGAAGTCTGTTCCTGAATCTCATTTCTCTGCAGTTTTGAATCTTCACATCTGTAATTCAAATGGTTCAGCTTAATTAGTAGCTGTTTTCTGATGAAAGCAGTCTGCCCCCTTTCTGCATTCATTTGGTAGGGCTAAATAATTCTAGTTCTCTTCCTCTTCTTTCATGACACAGCGGACTTCAGTTCACTTACAGAGGTACTGCAATGTCTCTGCACCTTGAATCCTGGTAATCAGTATTGAACAAAATATTCCGTGTAGGAAAGAGAACACGAGTGACTTGTACACTTGCTTTTATTACATTTGAGATGCTGAGGAAATACCTCAGCTGGTACATCAGGAATTTTTTTCATGATAATATGAATGACTTAACAGTAATGCTATGATACTGCTTGGGAACAGAAGAAATATTAGGTCCATCACACAAAAAAATCATGTTGATCTTTTATTGTCTGCATGGTCTTCTGTTCACTGCTAGATTTCATCCTTATTTTTGATACTCCAGCCCTCAGGTTGGCTTGATTTTTCTATGTGATATTCCAGTCTTCCTCAGAATTGATGCAATTAACTTTGTCTCTCCAGAAAATTTAGTCTTAAAAAATCATAATTCCTAACGTCAAAATCTTAAAGAAAAACATTAAAACAGATGGCAAGACTGACTATCAAGGAACTGTGACCTAATGCCACTGTCGCTGTGTTTGGCTTTCTAATCCTGTTTATTCCAGAGTTTGTAACATAATCCCAATCTTCTCAGGTATTACCAAAAATTTCCCTTCTCAAACTGTAAGAGCTGATCTGTGGGATTGAAGCCCATGAAGATTAGGCATATTTTTAATTTTAAGATGAATTTAATTCTCTTTTATTGGCAAAGCAAGTATGCAGACTGTTGATCAACTCGCATTATGTGAGTCTTGCGGAAGTGTTACACTGTAAGCAATTATGCTTAAAGCAGCAATCTTCAATTATCTATTCTCTGACAAAGGATTCTGTTTCTCAGAATAAATTATTTCATATTACGTATTTAATACGGAAGTATTTAGTTGCAAAGCACTAACTGAAACTCAGCTTCTACTTCCTTTTTTCCCCTCTAATGAAATTACACTGTCTGTATTTAGATTATTTTTGTGTGCTTAATGTCAAGATACTAGCATTATTCTTTTTTTTTAATTCTAAAGAACAGTATGGTAGTTCACTTGTATTTTTCTAATGGTGTGCTTACGAAAAAAATAATTTTTCCTTTTTACTTACAGAATTATCAAGCCAGCCTTGATGATTTCAACAGAGTGCTTCTAATAGATCCAGATGTTCTTGAAGCAAAGAAGGAACTAGAGGAGGTGACGCAGCTGCTGAACCTCGACAGCGGTGCTGTGCCTGGCAGCCCACAAAAGCCAAGGAAGAAGATCACCATACAAGAGGTAAACCTGTTCCTTTTTAAAAGCAGGCAGCACAGCAGGCACACATGTTAAGAGGTAGTACTAAAACTTTTGCTTTGCACTTCTTAGCTTAATTTTTTAGGGGTGGGATTGTATTTTTCATGTTATTTTGAGGGTATATTGGAGGATTCTTCCGTATGTGTTCAGCATCCATTACATTCTGTAGTAAAGCTTGGGCTGCTTTGAAGTGTATTCAGAACCACAGCAGAAACAGAAAACAGTACATTTAGATTGCAGTAAACTTGAGGATATGCTCCTTGTAGACAAAAACTGCTTAGACTCTGAAATACCTTGTTTAGGGAATGTGTCTGTCAAATAGCAATTTTGCTTTTAAAGTCTGTGCTGTGCGGGCAGCCTCTGGGGCTGTGCTGGCAGAGGTTGGCTCTTGTGCTGGTAGGGAAGTTACTGCTGTGAAGAATGAAATCCTGCCTTAAAGAGCAAGAGTATGGGTAATACATCTCTAGGATCTTAGAAAAGAAATATGTGCTGTAGTGTTAGGTCCTGGATCAGAATGTTAGCCTTGCAGAGTCCGGGGTGAAATTAGGCGATGAAAGGATTTTCTGTCATCTGATAGTTTTGGATTGTAGCTTTGCTGCTCCTTTAAGAATATTTTTTTTCCTTTTCATTTTAAAATATATAGTTAAAGGGGATAGTTACCACTCCATAGAGTAATACTGTAATTTGATAATGTAATTTCAAGATGGTGGTACAACGGAAACTGCAATTATTAATGCAGAAACAGCTTGTTTTATTGAAACACTTCACATCGTCACGAGTTCAAGGGATTTTATGTAACTGGCATAAGCCGGGTGTAGTGTTAGTTAAGCTCCAAGCTGTGACAAACAAAGGGACCTGGGGAGAGTTTAGAGGAGGTTTGGGAAGTGACTGCATTGTTCAGAGACCAGCTGACTGCATTACTGGCAGCGGTGGTTTTTCCAGGGGTGGGACAGGAAGCTTTTGTTTGCTGTCATAATTACAGCTGCCCCCTTAGAGAGCCCTCCCTGTCTCAGCTGCTCTAGTAGGTAAGGTAGGGATCTGCTGTGAGATAGCTCTTGTGAAAACAGGCTGCAAAGAAGAGTAAGGAAAATTTTATGAGAAGCTGGGATTTTTCAGTATTATTCCATTTTAATTAAGTTCGATATCAGGAATGTAGGTGCCTTTCTTTCAGGAAGGGTAAAATGCTAACTTTAAGTTAGTGACATTATTGATGGCTATAGGCATGCAGATTATGAAGCTTCAGGTAATCTCTATGTCCACATTAATATGATTTGTTGCCGTTGTCTTTGTGAAGGTGACTGATGAACAGGAAGAGGGAGAGTTTGCTACATCAGAAGTGACTGATCATGTTGATTGTGAGAGTTTGCCACTGAAGAGCTCTGAGAAACTGCGTATTTCTGAACCTTCTAATCCTTACGACTTTGGTCAGATGATAAATGCAGTGAATACCACTAAGGATAAAGCCGCTTGTGCAGAACTTCTAACAATTACTGATCCAAAAAAAATGCCAGTGCTGTTAAGTAACAAACTCGAAGGAGAAATCTTTTTGATTTTTATCCAGTCATTGGAATATTACATCGTTGGAAAAGATCCTGGCCTTGCATATCAGCACCTTTTCTACTTGAGCAAAGCAGAAAGATTTAAGGTAAGAACTTAGATTGAATCCACACTTAAGGTGAACAGAAACCTAAAGGAAATTATCGTATCTTAAAAGGAAACAATACACTGATTTTGTATTTCTGTCAAATACTGATTTTCAATAAACCTGTGCTAATTATAAAACAATCTCTTTTTCAGGTGGTGCTGGCCCTTCTCAGCAAAAATGAGAAAGAACAGGTTCAGCAGCTGTTTGATTTACTTTCAGAAAATCAGAATCATCAGTACTCTCTGGACGATCTTGAGAGCCTTAAAAAGGTTTATGAACTTTAAGAAGTTAAAATGAGCAGGTTGCATGCACATGGTTCATGTTTATGAGACGGATGTGTGAACTCTGCAGACTTGCATGGGTTGAAGTGGGTCTTTATCCGGACTCTTAGAACGTTATTTTGTTTTGACAGCATATGCACATTTAAAACTTGCTGCTCTTTTTTTCTTGTAGTTGTATACATTTTTAATCTCTAGAATTTAATGCATGTCTTTGTGTTCAGTAATGGAGTTCACGTTATTTGGCATACTGATTTTATTTAGATTGTGTTGATTATATATATAAATATATTTTACATTATATATATATAATGTGAAATATCTTGATGGTACGATAGATAATACACTTTTAGGCATCACTTGTTATATCATTTTGTGAGTTGTATGTTCTTGTGATAAAGAAGTGTCTTCAAGAGAAACGGGTCAGTTAGCAATAGCTTTGCTAAAATGAGTTTACAAAAAGTATTAATGTTTTTCAGCTGAACTGCTAGAGGCCATCTGTGTCTTCACTGTCCCTGGCCTATACAAAACAGATTTAAATATTTTTGGTGCAATACAGCTTAGCAGCAAAGGTGAATGAATAATATATTAGCTTGCCATAGAACACTTTGAATCAAAATAATTAATTATTAAATAAATGGGTATATTTTTAAAATAATTAACAAGCGAGTAATTTCAGCACAGAGAGGATTATTTTTTTCCTGTGCAGGTGGAAGGCCTGCTGGTTTGCAGGGCTTTTGAGGTGACAGTGGCGAACAGGAGAAGTGGCTGCACTTAGCAATAAAAATATTTAACTCTTGGGTTTTGTAATCAGATTATTTAAAACACCAGCTATTTCTGTTTACAGACATATTTATAAAGCTAAAAGTAAAACCATTTTGTGGACCAGTATGATTTTTTTTTTATTTTATTTCAGGCAGTACTTCTGTTTTATATTTGATTCTGACAAAGCTCCTTTTTTGAAATGAAGCTTTTAAATTTTTCAAATACCCAAATGCCTTCTTTGCACATGTGATGTAGATGTATATTGAACTCACTAGCACTGCAGAAATACTAAGAATGTTGTTCTAATGAAAATTTTTCTCAGGTGTATATCAATTAAAAAAATAAAGTTTTTTTTTTTTTTTCTTGAAAAGTATGAGTATGGTTTCTCTTTTGTGGTTCTACACTCTTTAGGTTTATAGTCCTGATGTGGATTATGAGTTTTGGAATCCTAAGAAGGAGGCACTGTCAGTACAACTGATGGGTTTTGTTTTTTAAATGTCCTCTTTTTATGAGATTGTCACCTGTTCAAGAGAGATCCGTCGCTCATCTACTCTCTGTGTAACCAGTTGTGCTTCACCAACAGAGTGTCAGTTCCAGTCTTCGCTCTTCAGTTTTCTTCATGGGGAAAGGTACTCACCTAGAAGTAGTCCAGGGAAAAGCAGTCCAGGAATGTGCCTTTTCTTGTAATACCTTCCAGCTTGAATGTCGGCTGAAACACGGGTTCGCTCAGTTTGAGGTAAAAATGACAAAGCTCGGGAGATCAGGAAGCTGAAGTTACCCCTTGTGAGGACGTTCTAGCTGGAGAGCTGCAGCAGGGCCTGCAGGAGAAGCCATCACCCAGCCAGCAGGAGGGAGCTGGGCTCTACCCACCCGCGTCGGTGCCGTCAGCGGGAGATGCAGTAACAAACATCCCCCCATGTGACAGAATCAGCCCTTCACCGTGGGGTCACCCACCTTCTTGAAGCAAAGAGCTGCTTTTCATTTCTCGAAACCTCCAGTGCAATGGGGGCAAAGAACCTAAAAATCTTTCCCCTAACAACCTAAATCAAGCAAACTGTTATTAGGAAGTTATTTTTAAGTTCATTAAATCCAGTTAAGATTTTTCAAGCCATCTGCTTGGTTATCCCTGTAAAGCCTCGCTGCCGTTTCTAGGGTACATTACGTTTCATTCCTCCCATTGGAAATGGTATAAATAATGCTCTAATTGTAGCTTTAGAGCTGACCCAGCACAACAGTTACCACTTGTTAGTGACTCTGGTATGAATAGAGCTTACATACGGGTCTGGGATGAGGCAGATCCAGCTTCATCTTCTGTTCTGCATCCCCATCCGTCTTAGTTTCTTTCTTCGAGCCCGTCACGATGCAGGTGAGAAGCTGAGCCTAATGAACAGGCAGCTCAGCCAAACGCAAAATACCAAGTTGTTACCCAGAAATGCTGCAGTGTTTCAGAACAGACTTCTTATGGACCAGGTGAATCAAGAGAAGCATCACTTCAGACCGAGAAAGCAGAGTCTGATTTCAGCTCAGCAGCCTCAGCCTTCCCCTCCAGACCAGAGGGTGCAGTTGTGTCTAAGCAGCAATATGCTTATGCCAGAGCCACATCTGCTCAGAAAACCATCTACCCTCCCTGCCACAGAGGCAGCTGAGATTGCTGTTCTGCAAGACAAAATCAGGTTGAAGTCTTGTACAAAACACAACTAACTTTAGATCTTATATTTCAAAATAGCAGAGCATTTAACTTCCAAAGCACAGCTAACAAAATGGAAGTGCTTAAAGGCAACAGGAGCTGAGAGCAGTCAGCACCTCACAGGAAAAGAACCCTCTTCTGGGAACAGACATTTTCATAAGGCTACTCTGCAGAGTGAGCAAAGGGCCACTAGAAGTCAGTATTTAGACATTTATTTCAGATATGCAGTTTACACGCATATTATTGAGCCAAACTGAATTGCAAATATACAAATACTGTAACAAGCATTACCAAATAACGTAACTGGCACTAGTGTTATAAGCATATTACCGAAACTGGTGAGGATAAGTCATGGAAGAGGACTGCAGCTCATGGCATTTTCTTTTTACCCAACCAAACTTCCAGTAGCACCATAATGGCAATACATGAAACACAAGACAGAACATCGTTAACTGTTATTCTGATATTCACAATTTCTTTTTTTTTTTTCCCATTTTAGTGAATTACATAGCAAAAAAACGTTAACAGTGCAGGCGCTTTGGCCAACTTCAGCTTGTGTTCAGCTGTACATCTTCCCTATGCAAAAGAAAAAGAAAAAAGCCAGCATATTTGGAACCCACCTTTGCATTTGGGCGGTCATTGCACTGCACTTTGATTCTGGGACTGAAGATACGCACGTCTGGCAAAGAGATGTCACGTCCACTAAAGCCTGAGTGAGTCTTTGGTAGGCTAATACTTCAGTATTATTATACATTTATCTACCACAGTCATTTTATTCACTAGGATTTTCTTTTGTGATCCAAGGTGGCCAAAGAGGACATTCTGGAAAAACATTACAGTAAAATCCTCATACGACCAGGCACTTCAAACCCAGTCTTTTCCAAAGGCACCAAGAATTGATGGGGCACCGTTTTTTCCCCCCCCTAATGAAAGGTGACTGCATCTGTTTTGTACAATGCTTATAAATCACCGGATTGTTATTGTACAGTTTTTATACACTATATAGTAGCCTTTTCTGCTGCATGGTTGGTTGCATGAATAAATAAGTAACCCCACTGTTCTTCACAGGTGACGTCTCCGTTCCACCGTATACTAAGTACCAATTTCTTCGATTTCAAAATTGTGTAAAATGCCATAACCTTGCTCAAAGTGTACACACAAACTCTTCTGACACAGGCTACATCCATCTGAAATATGCGGCTCATTCTACATGCATTCTAAATACAGCGTGTCCAGTTAGGAAACAAAATGACCATTGCCAATATTCACTGTTGAAATAGGGTTGTAGAGGGCTCTGCAAAACTTTTGCTTCCCTTAAATAGAGTTCACACAAGAACGGTTTGAAGTCACTAACGCTCAGCTAACACCCAGTTATCCAAAACCCCATATTTTTCAAGTGAACACCGCAGGACATATTATTCATTTCAGCATTTAACATATTAAGAATTTACCAATTTTTATCTAAATACACCAAGTATATGCTTTCAAGCAAAGTTGTGGCAAAAATACAAAACATGGACGTATTTGTACTGCTGTAATGCACTTGGTTAAAGCCTTCATGTCTCTTCACACAGGTCTAAGATCCATATGAAGCATTTTGTCTTATCAGACCAGTATATATAAAACGCAGTTGTATCAAAACCTTGCTTCTGCTGGTCACCTGAAACTTACGGAAGCCGCATGTGAATCAACCAGCCTTCAGACAGGGTTCTTTAGTGGTAAATATATTTTTTGCAGCACTTACAGGCTTAAATCTCAGTCTGAATAGCAGTGCTTAATTCCGCAGCGTGTTGTGAATGGTTGTTGTTTGTTTCTTTCAGTGTTTCCCCACCACCTAGATCTCCCTCCGTGGCAGATCCGTTATTAGCGCTTTCCTCAGCGATGTAGCTCAGCTGTGGAACGTCAGTGCTGGGGGCTGGGGGAGCAGGCACAGGGATCCCACTGGGCTGGGGAGAGTTTTCCAAGCGATCGTTTTCCACCTCGGGGAGGACGCTGACCGTGGTGAAGCGCGTGTGATAGTCGCTGGAGCCGTGGCTACAGGAAGTTTTCATACTTTCCATATCTGAGCAACTGAACTCAGAGAAGTGACTCGAGTGAGAATCTGCTACAGACGGGATGCTGTCGCTCAGAGAGGGGGAGTCAAATTCACTGGAGTTTGTGCTTTGTTGTTCCAACAGCTGAGCATCCATGTCCTCTCTCGTCTCGTTTATCTTCATGCTACTCTTCTTCCTCAGCTTACCTTTACACTTTTTCCCCGCCGTTGTTTCTTTGGACCACTTGGTGGCGCCAGCTTTGCTCTCTGGCAAGCAGGCTGAGGAGCACCCGGCGTGACTGCGGCCCGCGGCGCTGCCGTCATCCACGCTGCTGCCGCCGCTGTTGTGCCTGAACTTGGCCGGCTTGGATTCGATATCCACTTGCACCTCCATGCTGTTGCCTTCCCTACAACGTGAAAGCATCCGTGAGTGTAAGTGGTCATCTCAGACGAGCCAGCTAACGCAGCAAAACAAACTCTCGCTGCTTTCCGAGATAGATAGCAAAAGAAAATTAAGAGATGTAACTTGCTTTAGAGAAGTTATGTGTTTAACCAAATAAACAGCCCAAAGAAAAACACCAAGTCTGAAAGACCTAACACTTCACATAGCCTTGGCAAAATCTAAGTTGTCACACAACTCAATTTGTAACAAAACCTGCAGTTTCAGAGTAGAACAGCTGAGGCACGCTTATAATACCCTTTAAGGCAAGGCTTATTCATCTTCTATTTTCACCGCGTTTCTCTTACCTGTCCAAAGGGATGTAGGAGTTCAGAATGGATCCTGCCATTGCTTTGGTACTGGCGTTGTCACTGACTGTTCCCAAGCTCACTGTGCCAGATTCTCCACTCAGACTGTATCGCTCTTTCTGCACATCTGCTTGTACTTCCAGTCTTGAAGAGAAAGAAAAAGAGTTGGATGTACTGCTACTACAGTTAAAGCACACGAGTTGAAAATTAGTGTCACCTCGAAGGGTTTCTCCACCCTTCAGTAGTAAGTTTATTAGTTACCCCGGTACAGATGTGCATATTTACCCCACTGAAACAGGTTCTCTCTTCCCACTGTCAAAAATGACTTTTTAAATAAAAAACCAAACCAAAACAAAAACACCCCAAAGCGAAACCAGATTAATTTCCCAACAAAGCAAAAAGTTGCGTGTTAAGCAGAGCTTCTGGATTCTTTCCTCCCTGAACTTTACAAAGAACAACTTCCAGGCTTAGCTGCAATTCTTTTGCAGCTAGTACTCTAAAAATGGAAAAAACAATCAGAAGGGTACATAAGTTCAAGACATGATAGTTTCCATGTTTCTCCAGTTGTAAAATTATTACTAATCAAACAACAGGCAGAGAACTGTGTCCTGTACTCTGCTTTATATTGTGTTGTTATCAACTGCAACAGGAATAATAGAAACCTGAGCAAACCTAAATTGGGCTGAACAGATAAGACAGAAATTGAATTATAATCTTTTTTCCAAATGCCTTGTTTATCTATGTTCTGACAGTGAACTGGAAGGGTTTTTTTGTTTTGTTTTCCCCTCTTAGCTCTTTAAAGAGGATAGATTTACCTCACCTAGCAGTCACAGCTTGACACACCTGTCCACACATAAGGGAACTCTTGATGCTGTC